ATAATAATAATAATAATAATAATAATAATGATAATAAAAATAATAATAATAATAATAATTAATAATATTAATAACAATAATAATAATAGAAACGATATTCTAATTAATTTCGCGCTTCAAATTTGTGACATTGCTGGTTGCCATCTTGACAACGGCCACGTAGCATGAACAATCGTATAATTTCAAATATTTTGTTTACTAATTTCAATGAACCTTTGCGTTTTTATTTCGTTACTTTTATTTTATTTTAATATATTAAAAAATACAACTAATTAACTATTAATAGAATTTATTTAAAATATATTGCACTGATGATGACTTTACGTCGAAATAGATCTATATGCATAATTTTAATAATATAAAAAATAAACGATTATAAAAATGGGATCTTGCTTGATTAATTTTAACAATTAAAATCATAAACGATTATAAAATGGATTTCAACATTTTGAATAGACTTAATTGTAAAGAACTAGTTCAAAATATTAGAAAATCAACCATAAAACTTGTTAATGCTGAATCGTCGGTGGATTTTTTGAACAACTGTATAGAACAATATATATATATATATATATATATATATATATATATATATATATATATATACTCACCTAATACTGAAAAACAACTGTAGTCCTAGAGATAACTCTGTGCTAAGGCGTAATCACGTAATATATGAATTTAATTGCCCCTTTGACGGCTGTGCACGTCAACATGACTCATATATCGGAATTACTACTACCTCATTGACTAGAAGGCTTACGATGCATAAACAGAGTGGTGCTATCAAATCTCATTTGGACTCAACACACTCAATCACTATTAGCCGTGAAATCCTCGACAGTAACACCAAAATAATATACCAGAACAGCAACTACACGCATCTTAAAATTGCAGAAGCAGTCCTAATTGACATCAATATATAATTCTATAATTCTTAACCAACAACAAAAACAAATAAAGTCCTATAATTGACTCATATATCGGAATTACTACTACCTCATTGACTAGAAGGCTTACGATGCATAAACAGAGTGGTGCTATCAAATCTCATTTGGACTCAACACACTCAATCACTATTAGCCGTGAAATCCTCGACAGTAACACCAAAGTAATATACCAGAACAGCAACTACACGCATCTTAAAATTGCAGAAGCAGTCCTAATTGACATCAATAAACCAAAAATAAATATACAACAAAAAATGACAACCTCACTTACAACCCGGCGCTTAACCAACAACAAAAACAAATATGATGCTATCGATGAAGAAAAGGAGACCAAAAAAGATGACCAGCCAATAAAGAAACCTGACACCTAATTTCCATCTAAATTCACTTTGACAAAGTCAATCTCCATCTAAATTCATTTTGACAATGTCAATATTTCCCTATATAAACAGCAGAAAGCAATGATGATGATTCATTCGGAATCGAAATATGGCCTTATTTGCAGCATGAATTCGGAAAATAAGTTTATTTTGAATTTTAATAAACTAAACGTTCACCAAAAAACTTTAGTGAGAAAAATTGAAAAAACGAACTACAAACATATTAACGCCAAACATTCGGTAGAATTTATAAAATATTGTAAAAATTATGGTCTATTACCAACATATATATATATATATATATATATATATATATATATATATATATATATATATATATATATATATATATATATAGACTGTCATAAATACAATTATTAAAAATATTATTGCATTTTCAGCTTTGATCAGTTTTTGGTTAAATTTTTCAATATTTCGTATCATAATTTTATCATTGCTCTTCATTGTTATTTATATAGAAAACAAACTTTTTAGCTGCTCTTTTATTCATTTTTAATTTATACAAATTTTTTTCGGTAACCCTTTACCATTTTTAATGTAGAATGTTTTGAAATATATCTGTGCGTTCCTAATTTATTGGCTCCTTTGCGTTGATCCATTATTTCTCTTTAATAATAGTTTTTTTTGTTGGTAGCAAAGTTACTGCATTTTGTTGGATATTTATTACATGGGTCAATTTGTTTATGTAAAGTGATTAATTATGTTAGTATTATACAGGTACAGGCATATGAATCTTCTCTATGTTTAGTTTTTTTTGTGGTGGTGGGCATAGAGAATAAACATTTTAATTAACTTATTTTGTTTTTACATTAATAATAATATCAATAATAATAACAGGTTGGCCAGCCCAAACACAACAAAAATAATTCGAAGTTTTTGGATCAAGAACTCAGTGAATCCAAACAAATCAAAACACGAGAACATCAAAAATGACTGCTTGAACAGCTTGTGGTTTATTGGATCCACCAAGCTGTTGATCGACCAGTATTGTATGATTGTATGGAATCATGCTGTTACTGGTACCAACAAATTAGTGTACCCAGCAATTTGAAAAAAATTTGTTTGCAACAGATAAATGAAAAACGCATATGTGTTCTAACAGTTTTGGTTTTGTTGAATTGATTGTCTTCTTATGGTGGAAAAGATCGATATTTTATGTATAATCTAACAACTATCAAATTTTTGAATATAACCTTTTTTATAGTTTAAATAACAAAAATAAATAAAACTTTAAATTTATGAAACAATGTATATTATCAAAGTAGTAAATGCTGCCAAATGAAATTCTATTCAAGACTTGCACTTGAGTATTAGTATTACCAATGAAAACACAGTATTTATAGTGTATGCAGTGTTAATTTCGGTCGACTAAGTGAAAAACATGCCGTGGATCTAGTAATTTATTTTGTATGCAGCGGTAAGTAAAAAATGTACCATGGACCTGGACCTAATAATTGTTTATCGTTTATGCAGCAGTATTTATTGCCAACAAAGTAAAATAGATATGCTGCAGTATTTATCGTGGACGTAATTTTTTTAAATAATATGGCAGAATTTACTTAGACTCGTGCATAAAAAATTTTAATTCCCAGAATAAAAATTCATTGCTGAAAATTTGTTGTAAAAAAGTCAAACTTTCATTTTTTTGGAATAATAAACACATATATTCTATATATAGATAGTTGATTTATTGTAATATTAGAAAGAGAAAGTTTTTCACTGTTTATTAATTTATTTTAGTTTAATTATTATATGATAAAATATAATATTAGGTAATCATGAAGAATACGCTGTTAAGCTCCATCCCCTCTTTTTTATTGTCACTTATTACATGCATAGAAAATAAATAGACAATGATGACAAGATGTAAAGCTTTAAAAGTGATATTAGATTTTAAAATTTATATCATGATTTAAATTACAATTTTGTAAAATAGCTTTTTATTAATCTTTTCTTTATATTTAAATGATTTTACGACGCAATTTACGATGCAATTGAAAGTTTCCATAATCTAAAAACGAATAACAGCACACAGATTTATTCTCTTAACCAAATGAGTTAAATTATTTAAAAAAACTTTTAAAATGTTATAAAATAAAACTTTGTTTCGGTTGTATAAGGAATAACAATGGCTCTTTGTTATTATTTTATATTTAATTTTAAGCAATTTGTAGCATTACGATCGTCCCTTGGGTGGCTCTGAAATGAGCCTTTTGTTGGGACATTTCTCAAACTGGATAAAATGTTCTCATAAGAGTGAGCGCCCTTTCAAACTCATCTTCTTTTCTGGCAATGCTCCTATGCCACATAAATTCATTTAAATAGGAGGACAAATGGTTATCATATGTTCCTCTCATTCTTTTGAACTTGTCTTTGGCACCCCTCCAAAGATTTTCCACGTTATTTGTGTGTACAGTGTACACCGCTAGAAGCCATAAACGTCCTTGAATAGTTGACGGTGTCATGTTGGTAGCCAATATTATCAGTAGCATTGTAAGCTCTCCATTCATCAGAACATATTTCAGATTTGATTTATGAAATTTAATTATAATTTACCAGGCAAAATATTACGTTCAACTATGAGGAGCAACGTTTCATCTCTCAACCTCAACTAGGAGTCGTTGGTGTCCTGGTCAATTCCACTAAAGGCCAATTTTTGGCGAACAGGTCTTGCAGCACCATTTCAAGTTCTTTTTGAACTGCTGACCACACTCTCGTCAGTCTGGGCTATGTGACCAGTATCCCTGATTTACATAGATTGAGCAGCCATCTATGAAGAGCACAGCTCTCGCAAAAAATTGAACCAATCAACTATAGAGTGTGGCTAAATCTGCAAAAGGGTTGATAAAGTTGTTTGTTGTACGTCGTTCAACCACCAATAGAACTCACATTATTGAACCTAGCCATGATTTATATTTTTTTTAATCAATATCAATTTATATTAAAATACATTTACCATGACACATATTTCAATTGGAAGTTAAGATTCTGAAAAAACTCCCATGCCGGATTGACAATGTTGTCCTAAAATTGTTGTTGAAACAATGCCAAACCTTTTTAGTGTAACACATACATTTTACATCCTTCAAGTTTTTTGGGCAACATCTCCATACCATGTCCACATTTATTACGAACCCAAAATTGTGCCAACAATCCGTGTTCCTGATACCAACTAATGCAGTCGTCCTCCTTATTTACCACTAATGCATTTAACTGCATTGATGAGATACCACTGACACTGGGATAAATAGCGGCCATCGTTAATTTTTTTATTAAATATTTTTATGAAAACAAGAGAAATTGGCAAAAGATATTGAGTCATGTCTCAATTAATGCTTTTAAAAATTGATGATATATATTGAAAAATAAAAATTTAATATTTTTAAATATTTTGCTTTTTTAATTTAAAATTTATTTGAATAAAGAAACTGCAACACATTTTTTGTTTACTTTTCTGTTTTGTCTATCAGAATAGAATATCAATGTCAAAACAAAAAGTGGGTGGAGTTAGCTAGCATATTCTTCATCATGATTACTATAATATTGAATATAATATATTCACAGTTTACACATATAATATTTTATAACAAACAATTTTAAAAACATTTAATTAATTAATTAAATAAAAGTTATTTTAAATTTTTGTTACCTTCTGATGAGAACAAGCTCCAGAACTTTGCGAATAATAACCCCATACGGTCACAGACTATTAAGTATTATTGTAAATAAAATTATTGACTAAAAAAATATATATGTGATTTAAAACACCTATTAAATATTAAAATCAATAATGAATGCAAGGACAACCAGATATACAATATTACATACCAACAACCACTATTATGTATAAAACAACAAATATGAGATGCGTGAAGTTAGATTCACAAGTTAACTATGTCGATTACATAAGGGCCGTAAGGTTAGCCAAGGATTTCACATCCAAGGATTTCAATACAAGCGTTATTTGAAACACTGACCCACCTACATATGAAAAAAATATTGACAATTATACGCAAAATATTGAACTTTTTCATACCCCCTAGACCAGATGTCGATTATAATTTTTTTTAAATGCCCACTTCTCAGAACCTTCCTTTACAGACTTTAATCAAAATGTTGGGTTTCATCGACAATTCCAGATTGCTGGAGGAGAGGTTTAACGATTTTGATTTACAAAAACGATAAATCTATCGGGCGTGCGGGCCGCACGCAGACCATGAACTTGTTAGACTGCTATAAGGCGTGCGTACGAAAGAATATGTTCAAAAAATTTTTTTATGCCGAACATTATTTTAAAAAGTATTTGTAAAAATTTCCGTTACTTACAATTGAAACTAAATTAAAAAAAAAATTAAAAAAAAAAATTTTTTTTAGATAAATTTTTATTTGCACGTCGTAATACTATTATTTATTATCTTTGGCAAGAGTTCATTTTCCTTTTTCCTTCAGTTGTGAGCGGCGAGGCTTTTGGAAATTCGCTTGATTTTTGTTTTGTTTGATCTGATTTAATTAAATAAAATTAAATTTGTTATTTTATCATTCTAATTTGAGAAAATGAGCTCCGAGTCATTAAAGTTAGGAGAGAGATGGATTTGTGAATGTTGAAAAAGCCGTTGATGTGGTAAAAAGTTTTTTTAAAAAAACCACCATCCAATAAATGAAGCGTGACACCAAAGAAATAGTTAAAAATGTTAACAAAAAATTATTCTGGAAAGCGCAAAAATTGTTCATTTTGACCCAGATATACAATACCATTGAATTATATATAAGAATGGCTTTATAGTGTTGACCTTCATCTCAAGGTCAGGAAACTTGGAAGCAAACTTTTTTAGCACCAAATTGTCAATGAGTTTTTCAGTTTTCCAATCTATATTTAGCTTCTTCCCTGTTAATGTGCCACCGGCGGCATTCTAGTAAACGTTTTTTTGCTGCTAAAATAATTCTACGGCAGTTTTAATCGATTTTTAACTTAATAATTTAACTGAATTATGTAAAATTTTTGGAATCATTTATTATTTGATCCATTTTGGTTTTATAAAGTTTATTTGTTTAAAAGTTTTAAAAATGTTACATTGTGCCAGGAGACACTAGACTAGGCCCAGAAAAGAGGCTTTGCTTTTTCGTATTTTTATTTAAAATTTTTGACTTTTTATTTTTTTAACTATCGTTAATTAATGTTCAAATATTTTTTATGATGTTTTTATATTATGGGTTTATTATTATTATTAGGATGCCTTTATAAAATGGCTTTTTGTCATAAGAAATACAAAATACAAAGAGTTTCTTTATTTTAATTTATTGGGTATATATATATATTATATATATTATATATATATATATATATGTATGATGAAAAATTTTAAATGCAGCTATTTACTTTCAAATTTAAATTATATTTAGACGTTTTGCTCAATGGATGCACATCTCATCAAGCAACAGCAAAGGCAATCAAAGTATTACAAGTCCAGAATCACAATGCTACAGGCAACAATAAGAAAACTTATGAATGAATGTAATAATTTAAAAAATGAATTAGCTACATACAAAGGTTTTATGTTATGTAACCATAGCAAAATGAATTGGAATTTTGATTAATTTTTTGTTTTTTTTTTGCTTCTAGATAAAAAACTCATACCATTTAAAAAGAGTTAACAAAGTATATAATGATAGTTACAAGACCTTTTATATGCAGCTGCATTTTCATGGTCCTCGTGCACACCAATTTTTAAGAAAAAGTGGACTAACACTGCCACACTTGAGAACATTGAACAAGTAAAATTTTGTTAATAATGATATTCTGTAAAAGTGTAAACTAGTATTGTTATATAAAGAAATATGTTCTGCAAATGAAATATTGCAAATGCTCTTTAATCCTTGATTCGATATCAATAAAGCCTCAAATTACGTATTGTTATAACCGTGCTACCGAACGCACTAGATTCTAGCGTATTCTGGAATGTTCTAGTGACTGGAGCATTCTTGAGTATGCTAGAATCGGACCATCTGGAAGAATCTAGAAACGACGCTTGCGGAGAGTATATAAGCGCACGTCGCAGGAAGATTAGTGATATTCGTGATTAGTAAAATCCGTGATTAGTGAAATTCGTGATTTTGTGAATTATTTAAAGCGATATTTGATTTGTTTGTTGACGTTGTCATAGCGATAGATTTTGAACAATTTAAAAGTTAATTGTTGCGTTAGTTTGAATTTGCAGGAAATAAACGATTAGTTGATTTCTTCTGTAAATAAAGTTTAATAACTAATAACTGTTTGGAGTATTTATTCAATCGAAGATTTGAACCCGTCGCATCGTAAATCGGTTACGACAGCGAGTATTAAAACAGTATAATAAGAAAATTGGTAGGTTTTTTAAAATATATTTTGTTTGTAAAATTGTGAGTTTAAAATATAGCATATTTTGGTAGCATATACTAGTTTATTCCTTGTCTATTTTATTTATTTCTTGATTTTTTTCCCATTTCACCATAAACATTTGTTTTCAATTTTTTTAATTTTATTGATGTTAAATGTTAAGCATAAATTATCAAACGCATTGTTTATTTGTGAAGATGACTTTATTGGATATGTTAACTATGGAAATGGGAATGAAGACATAGTTGCTTCAGAGATGTTGGTTTTTTATTTTGTTAGTCTGAGAGAAGCTTGGAGGCATTCAATAGCTTATTTTTATACAAATAAGTTATCATCTCACAAGTTGAAAGATTTTATAGAGAAAGCCATTGATAAGTTACATAATGCTGGAGTTAGGGTAAACAACATTTGTTTTTCTTAAAGATATGTTAAAATTTTTATACATTATATTTATTTTTTAGGGTTGTTTCACTGGTAATGGATGGGTTGACCACTAACGTTTCGGCATGTGGATTGGTTGGATGCTCTTTCACATTTCTAAACATGCAAACAAGTTTCTTGTCCCCAACAACCGGCCAGAAAATATATATCATATTTGATGCATGCCACATGCTGAAATTAATGAGGAATATGTTTCATTCTTATATGATATTTTATAATAATAATCCAATCAAATGGAATCATATCGTAAACTTAGTTAATTATCAGCAACAAATCAAAATGAAACTAAAAAATAAATTAACCAAAAATCGTGTAAATTTTGAAAAGCATAAGGTGAAAGTTAAATATGCATCTTGAGTCTTTAGTTGCTCTGCGGCTAAACCGTTGGAACTCTTAAACGGATTTTATGTTTTTTCTGAAACAATAGCTTTTGTGAAAAACATCAATGATCTTTTCCATATATTGAACAGCAAACTGATACTAGATAGAGAATGGAAGCAATCCATTACAAAGAGCAACCTGACAGCCACTATAGATAAACTTTATGAAATGAAAGCCTACTTACTAAGTTTGAAAAATTTAGATGGTGTTGGATATACAAAACTCAACAACACACGTTTAGACGACATTTTCCCCAAGATCGGGGGTTGCCGTTTGGCTACCTATGATGAAACCGAAATACCCCTCGACGCCATCCACATCTGTCACTCGCCTCAGTATCACGCAACCCCGCTTTCACCCTGTCCTTCTCCACCTGCTTTCTCCATCCCCATCGCGGACGACCACTCTTGCATCGTGTGAAGATGCAACTGCCGAATTATTAGCGTATGGATCATATTTCGATTTTTCTCGTCTTCAGCGCTTATAAAGGAATACTTCAAGATTTTACAAATTTTGTGTGTGCAAAGTTCTTTTATTCTGCCTTGTCTTGTACAAAGTGCTTTTATTCTGAAAAACTTTCATTTTATTAGACTCTTCTGACGGCTGCTCTTTTTCAACTTTGTTTACATTCTCCAGACTAAAACTTATTTTTAAAGGTTCTTTTTCTTGAGACTGGTTGGCACACATTGGTTGGACTTCACAAGTATCAATGATGTGTTCAACTGTTGGTATAATTTCAACATGTTTTTCATTTTCTGGCTCTATCATCTGGAGCACTGGTGGTTCATTAATGTGAATATTTTGCACTAAACCATGTAAATCGTTTGTCAAAACAATTTCATTGGTTTTTGAGTCAATCACTTTGGGGTTGGAGTCGTCAAAATTCATTGATACGTTTGTGCTGATATTTGTGGTGTAAATTTCTAGATGCTTTTCCGCAGCTAAATTTCCCAGTTGTTGCAGGTCAAATTTCTTTTGAGCAGCAATTACCTGTGAGATTGACGACTGCAATATCTGTAGAAATTGATCAGGTTTAGCTTGTTTAAATGTTGATGATAACTGCTTTTAGAGTGTCGTAATCTGTTCCTCTTTGCACTTTTAGTGACGAATTTGAGACTACATTCAAAGGCAGGGAAATTATTACGTGATAGAATCTTGATTTTTACATATCACGTTTTGCAATTGAAATTGCACTTCGGCATTCTCGAACCGATCTGTTGACGCCATTTTCTTGAAAAGAGGTAATATGGCGATCGGGTCATCATATCGTTGGAACGTTTTGTTGATTGAATTGATGATTTTGTTTTTCTCTAATCACGTGGATCTTCGTATTTCTTTTCACGTCGGATTTTTTGTTCAAATCACGTCTGGTTTCACCAATTGTTGAGGAATGTTCGATTTACTATTGTTTCGTCTTTGTTGTCGAATAAGAAATTGGACAATTCAATACGAGTAGAAATAATTTTGTTTTATTAACCAAACAAACGTAACAATCTCGTACTAACGTAAAAAGAGAAGAGAAAAAGTAAGCAAAGTAGTAGTAGTAATAATAATGAATTAAATTCAAACATAGATATTAAGATTAAAAATAAAACTAATTAATAATTAAAAATGTTAAATGTTTATAATAACTATATTTATTTAATCCCCTACAATACTATATTATCGAATCGAAATGGCATGACTTCGTCCTACAAAACTGATGAAAAGATCAAGAAGATGATATTAAACCATAATAATAATATTAAACCAACTAACCCAAACAATAGAATAAAATTAAGGATCTTTTACAAAAACTACAAAACACCTAACTTTTACGGCGGATTCAGAAGAAAGTCAGCGTCATTTGAGAAGTTTGTGTGATTTTAATTTGCTAAGTTTGTGAAAGTAAAAAAATCCGATAAATCTCACGTTAGGTCGAGTTGCTTAACATTTATACATTTTTTTCATGTCATTTTAGTACATCAGCACAGCAGAGTGTTGAAGATAATTACGCTCAGCCAGCCAAGAAAGCACGCTTTAAACCTTTTGCTGACCTGCGGGATGGTTGTAGCTCATCAACTACTAAAATTTCAACTGCAGAACCCTTAGGTTATGAAGAATTGGCTAGATAAAAAGCCGTGAATGTCCCTGTCGACTACACCTCTTTGCTAGCCTACTGGTAAGACAATAGCAAAGGCTTTACACTTCTCTCAAAGGTTGCTAGACAAGTATTATGCCTCTCTGCTAACACAATCTAAAAGAAATTTCAATTCAGTTGGGGTTGTCGAGCTTCCATAACAGATATTGATAAAGTCTAGTCTTCACTCATTTTGGAACAGTGGCTATGAACTAATGAAAAAAAGTTAAGTAAAATATTAGTAACATTTGAATTTTAATTAATTTTCATGTTATTTTATGACACTCGCAGAGTGATTACTTTACCAGTGTATTTTATTTCAAATATAAGCTTCTAATTTTGAGGTCTGCATTTTAAATATTATTTGTAAAAGTTTGACTGTTGGTTAAAGTACGACTAGTGGAAATGGTGGGTTGGGTTTGAGAATTTGCATTTTCAGGCGGGTTGGGTTGGAATGAGTTGAGTGAGTGATAGGTTGGGTCAGTAAAAATGGACCCATGTCCACCTCTGTAACATCCAACAAGGAATCACGACAACTCTTCCAACTTGAAGAATGAACAACAATAACGTTAATAGGATCCACCAGCAATCTAACAACGATGATAATAACGATAATGACAATAACAACAACACCATCAATAACAACAATAATAGTATTAATAATGATGATGATGATGATAACAATGATGGGAACACCTTTTTATTTTAATCGTAAAAGCATACACGAAATGAAAGAAAATAATTGTCAATGATAATCAATATATATATATATATATATATATATATATATATATATTTATATATTTATATATTGACAATTATTACAATTGATGTTTCTTTCATTTCATGTATGCTTTTACAGTGAAAATAAAAAGGTGTTCCCATCATTGTCATCATTATATATATAGTAAAATGTCATGAAATAATCTCAGAAACTGGTCACCTTATAAAAAGAATGTTTACCACAAGAGCGGATTAGTCCTAAATGGTTCATTTAATTTGCATTTCTATCAAAGTAAATACTATATAATGACAAAATTGCTGCATAAATAAGGTTGTTGATAAAACCATCAGTCCATATTAAATTAATGAGAGACAAATCAAAAGTATTAAAACAACCTAAAGGGAATATTTTAAATGTATTAATTGTAATGTTAGAGTGTTTATAACTATCGGTCAAATTATTTTGCAAATTATGGAAGTACTTCGCCATTTTATAGTCCTTTGATTTCAGAAAGTTTGTTTCATGGCAAACCGTGAGCTCCAGGATTCCAATGTTGCTATCGCAAAGTAGTGCGATGTCGGGACATAGCGTCTTGAAGAGGCAAGATAGTGGCTGATATTTATATTGATCCGCGTCTGCATATATGGAGACATCAGGGCCTGTGCATGATTTCAACCTGTCTAATATTATTGAAAGAGTTTTGTTGTGACGTATTGTAAATCGCTTCAGCACCGACCGACGCCGGGCCACAATTCGATAAAACGTGTTTGTTTGTTTGGCAAGCACTGCATAGAGAACATTGTGCAGTGAATGATTTTCCTCATTTTTCAAGGTTGGCGTTTGTCATAAATTGTTGTATAAAACTTTTCCTGACAAATTTAAACAAAACATCCGGAAGGCATGTTACATTCCTCGACCAACGATCTATGTGAACAGCTGGGATGTGTGATTGAATTGGTTTTAATATTGTTCCTTGACATTGAAGAGATGTCAAATGATTCAAAGCTGCGGTTTGTTGTTGTTCTTTTATTGTTTTAAGCGTCGGTTTGATGTCGTTGGCGCCAGGAAGCATATTATTGATTTTAATGAAGTCGCTGAACGATTCGCTCTACAGACATTTTAGCTCCTCATTTCCATTGGCTTTTAAATAGTTGCGAGGTTTGATCCTCGAGAATGTGGCGTAACGTTTCAGAGATCTAACGTTTAACCCACCCAGTTTGAAAGGAAGTGTTAAGCTCTCTGACAGACAACTACTGATTAGCAATGAGAGCCACATTCTCACTGCCTCTACCACCAATGGGTCAAGACAGCTGCCAATCTAAGTCAACGAGACATTGTATGTCCTAAGCTCAAAAGCCGGCTGTGATGGTATGTATCGTCTTAAAATTTAGAGCTTTCACTGGGCTGACGTATCTAATTCACCGATCAACGACAACAAGTTTTTCAATTTACCGAATAGCATTTTCTTGGCTTCCGTGCCTTTTCCTTCAAAGTCATAGATTTTGCCCAGCTATATAAAGCTATATAAAGCTATATAAATTCTTCGACTTGAGGAATAGTTCCATCGTCCTTTTTTTTTCTCATGCCGAATATCTAATTATTTATTTAATCTCATTTGCATGCCAGTTTTGTTACACCAAGACTGGCTGATGTCGATTAACTTTTGAGAATTTTCCGTGCAATTAGCAATAATCGCCGTATCATCGGCAAACTGCAACCCTGCTCTCGTTTTCAAGTTGGCTGTAGGTCCCGAAATGTAGTCACATTGTTGATATTCTGGGTCGGAAGTTGCCGGATCGCCTTTTTTGCGAATAAGCAATGTGAAACCTTTCTTCCCGCACGATGGGATTCTAGAGGACAACCAACATTGCGTAAACAATTTGTGGAAAAAAGTGCGCATTATTGGACATATTTTAAAATTGAGATCTGGTCTAACGGAGTATTGTAGATATTTTGTGGTAGGTGGGAGGATTGACGTTGCATGGCGTTGAAGGCAATGAGGGGGTAAAGCGGCTGGTTTGTCTGGACTTAAAAGTTATTTCATCAAAGCATCTGGTGGGGCAGGCTTCCGAGCCCTCTTACACATTTGTAGGGAGATGTGGAGTAAATCAATACTACCAGTGGAATGGAACAGTAGCACAACGATATATAAAGAAAAAGGAGACCCACTGAAATGATCCTCATATCGGGGTATACACCTTCTAGAACGCCTCTTAAAAGTTATTAAAAAGTCATTGAAAAAAGACTGTTGTCGTATGTTTCAATACATGGTTACCAGTACGGCTTCATGACAGGGAGCTCCACAGTTTTTATTTCGTTATTTTTATTTTATTTTAATATATTAAAAAATACAACTAATTAACTATTAATAGAATTTATTTAAAATATATATTGCACTGATGATGACTTTACGTCGAAATAGATCTATATGCATAATTTTAATAATAATATAAAAAAAAAAATAAATAAACGATTATAAAAATGGGATCTTGCTTGATTAATTTTAACAATTAAAATCATAAACGATTATAAAATGGATTTCAACATTTTGAATAGACTTAATTGTAAAGAAATAGTTCAAAATATTAGAAAATCAACCATAAAACTTGTTAATGCTGAATCGTCGGTGGATTTTTTGAACAACTATATATTTATATATATATATCAAAAATTCAACACTACTTTCAACATTGTTCAACTTTTTTATATATCTTTTTAATTTATTAATTTCAGAGAAACTAGACATTTTATTGTTTTTTAAAAAATTTTTATTAAATAAATTTGCAAATAGCTATTTCGAGTTATAAATAACTCATCTTCAGTGCATTATATATAAGGTATGTAAGATATTTGATATAAAGGAACAAGTAATTATTAATTTATATAAATTATTTAATTAAAACAGAAAACCAATAAAATAAATTTAATAACTATAAACAATATAAAACGCGATTTTTAAAAATTTTAACGGCAAGATTGTTTATATTATGGTTGTTAAGGTAAATATCATATTATCAATATAAATAAGAATTTGAAAAAGTTAAGTAGAAAAAAATAGTTATTTATTTATTTGTTTATTTATTTATTTTTTAATTGTGATATATAACGTTGAATATGCATTATTAAAAAAAAGTTGCTCACATCAACATCATTATTTTAACGTCCGTGCTTACGCGCTTGCATGGGTATGACGGTTTCCAAGGATGCCACTCCTTCATACATCGCGGTCTTGTGCATCTTCCCTTCTTAACTTCATCTTTCTCATGTCATTTGCTACACACTCCTTTCAAGTTTTTTCTCTCCTTCCTCTACCCTTCTCCCCGTCAACTATCACATGTCTACGTGCTGACATCCAGTCATCCTCCTTCTCTCCGTTCCACATGCCTAAACCATCTCAATCTACCCTGTCTCACCCTATCACACACATTTACTATATTTAACCTTAGTCGGAGCTCTTCACTCGTTTTCCTGTCTCTTAGTGTTATGCCACACATCCACCTAATCATAATTTTTTTGCCCTTTCCATACGCTCCCATGTCTCACTACCATACATCAAAATATACATATCTCCTGGAAAATATTTGTATAAATGCGAACCAATGAAAAAATAAGAAAAGGCAAGAAGTAAAATATATATATAATACTCCCATATCACCTTGATTGTATATAAATATTAGACTACGAAATGACGCCTCTGGTATAAAAATATTTGATCATCTGGGTACAACCGCAACATATCAATTTGAACAACGAATATGGTATAGGTAGAAATACCGAAAAAAGTTTTTCTGTTCTTTCATGCATAAGATAAACAAAAATTTTGGTTTTAAACTAAAGAAACTTGAAAATGATTTACGATCAACCGTTAGAAAAATCAAGAAGTTATAATCATAATGGAAGTTAACTAACGCCGAATATGCTGTGATTTTCCTCAATAATATATATATATATATATATATATATATATATATTTATTTATATTTATATATATTATTGATGTAAACGTATATGTGTAGTTATTTACATAACGAATGTAAACAAAGAAGACGGCTATGTTAATAATCGGTGTTCTTGAAAATTTCTGGGATTTAATGACAGTTTGTTAAAATTTAAGGAAAACGTGTTTAACTTTTACAACAGTTTCATTTTTAATTTTAATGTGAATTTAAATAATTAACTAATTTAACTAAAATTAAATTGTATTATATCGGTTTTACTTAACTTTGTTTAATAACTAATTTAATATTTTATTTAATAAAGAAAAATAAATAGTACAAATTACAAATTGATTAGATTTTCGTTTTTTTAATTATGCGTCTAGTTTTAAATTTAGTGTTAGTTGTGTCATATTTTGCAGTCCTAATGAAATCTAGTTAGTGATTTAAAAAAAATAAAACTTAATTATTATTTATATTAAAAAAATTAAATTGAAATTTTTAAACATTAAGTAGTTTTTGACTGTTTTTGATGTAAATATTTCGATTAATTATTACTATTATAATTATATTAATTAATAATAATTTAAAAAAAAAATTTGTTATTTTCTCTACAATTTCATTTTTTGATTATTAATGTTTAATTATTATTATGTAGATCATTGATGATGTAGGATAGGTATTGTAACAGTAGAGTAACAGTAAATAGGATGAAAAAGGATAATAAATGATAATTATTTATATTATTAAATCTTTTGTGTGTGTTTATTATTATTCAAAGATGAAAAATAAAATGATCTAAAAAAATAATTTTTTTTAAATTCATACAATATACATAGTAATTAATATTTATATTTAATTTTTATTTATTCACCATATTAAAAAACATTGTAGAGCTAGTATGTATTAATGACTCATTTATGTGTGACAATTCATGTAAACCCAATTTTTGGCTATGTGATGGAGTGAAGGACTGTGCAGATGGACGAGATGAGTCTGACTGCAGTTAGTGTTTTTTGTTTTTTTAGTATAAATTAAAATTAACTAAATTTTTCTTATACAAAATTTTCTTTAACAATTTTTTTCAATTTCACAAGATCCTCCTCAGTGCAATGAACATGAATTTTCTTGTAATACGGGCAAAAAAACTTGCCTTCGAAACATTCTTATGTGTAATGGACAGATAGACTGTCCTGATGGGTCTGATGAAGATTATTGTGGTATGTGGTTTTTAAAATTGTATCCTAATTAAAATAAAAATGCAGAAAATTGGATTTTGTTTTAGAGTTTTGCTGTTCAGAAAATTAATTTTAATTATATTTTTATGTTTATGCCTAATTTGATCTATTATATTATTTTAATTCAAAATGTGGTAAAAATTAATCCAAACTCATTTCATTTTATTTTATTACTGTTTTTGTATTATTGTTTATTTTTTTATATAATTGGAATGTGTTAAATTTCTTTAAAAAAAAAAAGCTCTTATGCAATAGCATGTTATAGTTTGGTGTTGTTATCAGTCATTCAAATATTGTTAAAATAATTAATTGGGTTCATCGGTTTTTAATTAGGTTGGATATATTTAATGAAACTTCAAAATTAGCAATTTATTTCCTTATAAAATTTTGATTTTTTTAATTTATCTATCTCCAGAAAAGACCAGCACCAATGAATGTTATGGCGACAACAACGGCAAAAGTGATGGTAACATATTCAAATGTGCCAGCAACAGCAAGAAATGCATACCAATAAAGTGGAGATGCGACCATCATAATGATTGCAGTGATGGCTCCGATGAGTTGAATTGCTGTGCGTCTTCAATTTGTTATTTTGTTTGTTATTTATTTTCATTTAATAATTTATTATTTTTTGTTTTTTGATTATTGCTCAGTATATGTTGCATAACCTTGGAAGATGTTTGGGTCAAAAAATTTTTATATCTGGAATTGCCCAACTCCTAATGACAACTAGCAGTGGGTCTAGCCTTTTTGCTGGAAGCACACAAGGCAGCGCAGTTACTGAGCACCAGGTGCCTGGCACTCGCCCAAGTGGTCGCCCAAAGAAGTCCTGGACACAGACCATACAGGAGGACTTAAAGGCACTAGGTCTCAAAAAGACAGACGCAATGGAGAGATCAGCTTGGAGACAGAAGCTGATGAATAAAATAAAAAAGTCCGACCCATAACAGATGGAGTCTATAAACGAGGATTGATTGATTGTTGTTGCATAACCTTGTTTTCAGACGATTTTTTTTTGTCTGTATATTTATAGAGATTGTTTGTTCCATGAATGTTTTGTTTGTTTTTTACGTTCCATGTATATTTTATTTTGTTTTTATGTTTTTTTAAATGTTTTTTTTTGTATTATTCTGCTTGTCTTGTTTTGTTTATTCTGGTTTGTTTGAGTGGCTTGTTGTCGCATTTGCTGGTATAAAAATATTTGAGTACATTGTACAAATTAGATAAAATATTTCTGCAGGCCATTATAATTTTTCAATTAGAAAATTTTTTGGCTATAAAATTTTTTTTATACCGATATCCGATTGATTGATTGATTGATTGATTAATTGATTGATTGATCGATCAATCGATCGATATCGATTGATTGATTGATTGATTGATTTATCAATTCATTTATTCTTTCTTTCTTTCTTTCGTCCTGGGCATGACATAAAACTGCATCCACGCTGCCTTGTGTGCTTTTGAGCAAAAGGCTAGGCCCACCACTTATCTGGTGGTTGTCGTCAGGATGGGTGTCCGGATGTAAAAAGTTTTCCCAAAATTTATTCCATGCCATCACAAAAAACAACAGCCCTTAGTCTCCAGCAGGCCCTAAGTGGTCAAGGGGTGCTAAGAATCCCTGGGAAGTATGCAATAGCGGAGGGATGTTGCAGAAAAATTCAGAATGGCCTCTCTATGGTACTTAGACTTGGAACGCTCAATGTTGGATCACTGACTGGCATGGAAATTGCAGAAATGCTCGAGCGGAGAAGGATTGACATATCAATACAGACAAAGTAAAATATAAACTATTCTGGAATGGTCAAAAGACGGCCAAAAATAGCCACTACCAAAATCTGAAACAATCCTTATTGGAGGCGATCTCAATGGCCACGTTGGAGAGAAAACAGATGGTTTAGACAACGTGCATGGCGGTTTTGGCTATGGAGAACGGAATGAAGATGGCAACCGCATGCTTGAGTTTGCTGAAAGTCACGGGTTTTGTTTACTGAACACATATTTTAGAAAAAGGTTGGAACATTTCATAACATACAAAAGTGGACCATCAGCCACGCAAATTGATTTCTTCGCTGTCAAGCAACAGCACCGAAAGCTATTCAAAAATGTGAAAGTTATACCTGGCGAATTATGTGTCGCCCAGCATAGACTCCTTGTGGCAGACCTGGTTGTCAAACTGTCAAAACATAAGTCTAAACAAATGTTTCGGAAAATCAAAACGTGGTAGCTGAAAAGCAATATTCATCGAGAAAAATTTCAACAGATCGTCGCCTCACAGTTAGATCACCAATCGCAATCCAGTACAGATGGGAGTACATATAAAACCGTTTTGATAAACGCTGCAACTACAGTTTGTGGGAAAACTGGTACAAAGCACCAGCATGAACGGGACGCGTGGTGGTGGAATGACAGGGTACAAAATGCAATAGCTGAAAAGAAAGCTGCATACAAGCAATGGCATAAATCAAAGTCTGTAAATGACCATTAAATTTTCCGTGAGAAGAACAACTATGCAAGACGTCAAGTCGCAATGGCTCGGACAGATCAGTGCAGAGAGTGGCTCACTAAAAGCAATGGTGAACAAATGAAATCTTTCTGTCGTATAGCAAAACAAGCAAAGTGTACGAAAAAAGACTTAGTAGGTGCCTCATGTGTCAAAAACGACAAAAATGAGATGGTTCTTGAACAAGATGAGATCAACCTACAGTGTAAATAATATTTCAACCGTCTGTTAAATGAAACAAATCACATCAATGTCAACTTTGACGCTCCACCCATCGAAGGTCCGATTCCAGACATCACTGTAGAGGAGCTTACAGAATCTCTGAAAGCTATGAAGGATGGAAAGGCAGCAGGGCCCTCTGGACTCACAAATGACATTATCAAAGCATCTGGTACAGCAGGTATCCAAACGTTACTACAACTTTGCTGTGAAGTATGGAGAAATTGCTCAATGCCTACTGAATGGAGCTATAGCATTACAGTTCCGCTATACAAAGGCAAAGATGATCCATTAAACTGTTCATCATATCGGGGTATACATCTGTTGGAACACTCCCTGAAAATTTTCGAGAAAATCATTGAGAGAAGATTAACGTCATGCATCACAATCGGAAATTATCAATTTGGTTTCCTAGTGGGGAAATCAACAATTGATGCAATTCACATCCTTCGGCAACTGCAAGAGAAGTACCTCGCAAAGCATCAACAACTATCACACATTTTGTAGACCTTGAAAAAGCATTTGATCGAGTTTCCCGTGAAGCAATCAGGTGGAGTCTACGTCGACAACTCATTCAAAAATATCTTGTTCGACTTGTGATGGAATGTATACGAATACTAAGACTCTCGTCAGCACAACGATTGGAAACATAGATGCATTTGACATCGGCGTTGGAGTTCACCAAGGCTCTATTCTCAGTCCACTGTTATTTATAACTGTGATGGAAGAAATCACAAAACCGATACGCACTGGTGACATTTGGAATCTAGTATATGCTGATGATATCGTTTTAACAGCCACGTCTGAGCAGAATGCAGCACAGATGTTTGAAGATTGGAACACCAGCCTCGCCGATCATGGATTCAAAGTCAACCTCAGCGAAACCAAAGCAATGAACACTAGTGAACCCATCCAATCCACAGCTACTAAACGATGGCCCTGTTCAGTTTGTAAAGCTGGTGTAGGTAACAATTCAATCAAGTGTCAGCAGTGTAACCAGTGGTGTTACAAACCTTGTTCAAAAATAATTGGTAATTTATCTTAAGTGTCCTGCTTGCATCAATCTACAACAACAAATTCGAAATAGCAATGTTTTTGAAGCCATTAAGGTAGAGAAAGTCACATCGTTTCAATATCTAGGAGATGTTCTGGATGGCACTGGAACAGCTGAAGCTGTCGTTCGAGCACGCATACGTGCAGCCTGGAATAAATGGCATCTCATTGTCTCTATATTGATGCGGCGTGACATCCCACTACCACTACGATCAAGACTTTATAAACCTGTGATACGTCCGTTCTTGTTATATGTTGCAGAAACATGGCCAATGAAAACCAAACTGAAACAACAACTTCACCGAACCGATATGAAAATGCTTTGATGGATGCAACGAATTAGTCTGATGGACCACATCAAATCTACCGAAATCATGCGTCGTGCTGGTTTAGATGATAAAAAGGACGAATGCCGGCAATACCGTCTGCGGTGGTTTGGTCATGTCAAACGAAGTGGAAACAGTGCCATAAGTTCTCTTGCAGATGTTGATGTACTTGGTACACGTCCCAAAGGCCCTTCAAAGAAGTCCTGGTCGCAAACAATCGAGCAAGACATGAAAGCTCTAAATTTAAATGAAATGGATACAACTGATCGCCTAATTTGGCGCAAAAAGTTGATGGCAAAGAAAACAACGTCCTACCTCGGGAGAACTGGGTCTCTGAACACTAAACGATGATTGATTGATTCTTTCTTTCTTTCTTTAATTCATTGTTTGTTTGATTGATTGATTGATTGCTTATTTGAATGGATTGATTAATTAATAAAGTTTTTTATTGACAGCTTACACTGGTAAGTGTGAAGGAAAGAACATGTGGACATGTGCTGATGGCAAGTGCATCATCAAATCGAAACGATGCGATGGACGGATGGATTGTTTTGACAAATCAGACGAATTAAACTGCCCGGCACCATTGTCATCGCTACCATCGTCACCGTCGTCCTCCTCACACCAACGTTGTTTCGGAGATGAGGGTACATCATTTGTTTGTACTCTGAGTGGGGAGTGTCTCAGGAAGGAATGGGTTTGTGATGGGGCCGCTGATTGTTTGGATGCCTCAGATGAAGATAACTGTTCGTTTCTTCCTCTCGTTTATTTATATTTTATTATTTTTATTGTATTATTTTTATTATACCGGTTTGACTACAATTTATATATTTTAATTTTAAAGATTGTCATATATCTTTAATGATTCTATTATAATTTTGACCGTTTCATTTGATTAACTTGTTGATTTATTTCCGATGGTTCATATTTTTTTCCCAGTGCAAAGCTGTTAATTTCCATTGCACTGATTCAACCCTGTTTGGGATGAAAATTCAACGTTTTAGTGATTGTTTATTTATTAAATCTCATTAAATTAAAAAAATATTATATATATATATATATATATATATATATATATCTTTTTTTTAAAACCTTCTCTTGTACACTCACAACACACACGCACATATTAACACGCACGCACTAATCCGCGCACATCACACATAGCATGTGATTGGTGGTAAATCTCTCTATGCATTTGAAACCGATCACTGCAGCAGTTAAAACAGGCTCCTTAACCATTACACCATGTCGCTACACAATGTTATGCTGCGATTACATACTTGTAATTTTTTTACATTGTAATTAGGTAAATTTCTAACATTTTGTATTTTAATCATTCATTTTGTTAATTTTCCTTTATGTTAATTGTTCTTTATGTTAATCGTTTATTATGTTAATCATTCATTATCTTAATCATTCATTATCTTAATCATTCATTATCTTAATCATTCATTATCTTAATCATTCATTATCTTAATCATTCATTATCTTAATCGAACTCTAAGCCAATTGCCGTCTTCATCATCATCGCCATCATCATTTTCCATTGTATTAATCAATATTAATCATTCATTATGTTAATTGTTCACCACTAATTTTAGGCCCCACGGTTTCCTGCAACGGCACATTGATGGGGGTTTTGCAGCACTTGTGTGCCAATAAACTTCACTGCATCGACCCAAGACAGGTGTGTGATGGTATTAAACAGTGTAGGGATGGCTCGGATGAAAGGGACTGCAAACAAGGTTCAGTGGGCATTTGTTTTAAATTTTATTTCAAATAAATATTCAATAATAATTATTGTATATAATTATTCGATGATAATTATTTTGTATAAATGTTTTATGAAAGATTTGTATTTTCATTAAAAATTATTAGGTATTCAACTTTTATTTGATTCGGTTTGGCATTTTTGTTTATACACTTATCCATCATGATTGCTGTGTTTTTAAATATCAAGTGCATGTATTTGCTTATCATCTGATTTGCAATTAAATTTTGATTGTGTGATGTTTACTTTCATTCTTGTTTAATGTTGAATTTAATTTTTAATAAAAGATAAAAAATAAAATAAAATTTTATAAATAAAAATATAAACAAATATAAAAATAAAGAATACCTATTCTTACAAATCTCCCCAAAAAATATATGATATGCATGCATCTACAAAAAAACTTTTTTATTTATTAAATGTCAAATGACTTAATTTATTTATTTACTCAACAACAGAATGTTCAATTGACGAATTCTCGTGTTCTAGTTTAGCCAAGTTGAAAAGTTTGAAAGCCAAAATTCATGAAAGTAATGATAATATTAAGGATAATATTCCTAAAAAAGATGATGGTTCTGATAAAGATGTGAGTGGGAATGATGAAAGGACGGAGTTGATAAGGAAAGATAGTTGCCTCCCTCTTTCAAAGATGTGTGATGCTGTCAAGGATTGTGCTAATGGTGAGGATGAAGATGAGGCAATTTGCTCCAGCGATCAAAGTATTCTTTTCATTTTATTTATAATCTCTTTTTGATAGATTTTTTTAAAACTAGCTTTCAAGGTTTCTTCAATAATTGTCATTTCATTCGATCCTCGTTTATAGTCTCTATCAGTCATGGGTTGGACTTCTTTTATTCCAGCCATCAGCTTCTGTTTCCAAATTAATCGATCCATTGCACTTCATTCATTCGCCTCATTTATTCATTCGTTTCATTCATTCATTCGTTTCATTCCTTTTTATTCACTCATTCGTTTCATTTATTCATTCATTCGGTTCATTTATTCATTCGTTTCATTCATTTTTTTGAACAGGCGATTAATAATTAATAAGCGAAATTTTTATTGAATAAATTAAATTTTTACAAAATTTGATTGTTAATCCATTCAAACTTGTCAGTCAACTGTAAAAATTTCAAAAGTTCAGTAAAAAACATTTCCATTGAAGTGCCTTATTGTTATTGAAGTACTTCATTGTAAAATATATTTTAGTCTGTGTGATCAAACTGTTTGTTTCCACATTCAATTATAATGGAAAATAATACATGAACCACCATGTGATCAGGTGAAGTGTGTGTGCAAAGAAATGGTGGATGTTCCGATGAATGCCAATCCAACAAATTCTTCCATAGATGTCTATGCCCTTCTGGATATAAACTTTCCGACGATTTCAAAACTTGCCAAGGTTTTTTTTTAGTTTATGTTTTTTATAGATTTTTGTATCTGATGTTTTCAATTCTAGATGGGGTTTCATTCAACTTTTTATATAAAATCTTGTAATAAGGTTGAAGTTGAATGATCGGAAGATAATACTCTAAATATATTTTTATTCATTGCTAACGCCATCACTGTTGTTTTTATATCTATTGTATGATTAGTTAATCATTTGGGCGGCGAGATGGAGTAATGGTTAAGATGCACAATTGCTGTGGTACCGAGTTTGATTGCAAAGGGATCCCCATCTATGAAATTCAATGTGTGTGATGAATTCATTCATTCACATTGCATGATAGCATGCAATTATTTTCAATTGATATTTGCTTAATTAATAACGTCTAATAATTTTCTTACCACACAGATACACACACTCACACACACACACACACAGATATTGATGAATGTGCCTCGTCTTCCAGTAACACCTGTGCGCACCTATGTGCCAACACACCTGGATCTTACACCTGCTCTTGCCATCCTGGTTACATCTTGGATAACGTGGATAATGCTACGTGCATTCAGATTGGTTGGTTACAGGGAATTCTATCTTAAAAATTAAAATTTTTTATGATTTTAGAATTTAAATGTTGAATAATAATAGTTATGAATAATGATGGAAAATAATATTAGGTTTATTTAATATTACTACTTTTTAAACAACATGGCGTTTCAACATTTTTTTTTGTTGGCAGGTGTAGAGGCGGTGATGTTGTTTTCAACTCAAGATGATATCAGAAGATTTTCATTGCATTCAGGTAACGCATTGATTCTTGTGTGTGTGCATGCTTGTTTGTGGGTGTGTGTGTGTGTGTGTGTGCTTGTGTGTTTATGTGCGCGTCTGTAAATGTTTGTTTCATTCACAGAAAGTTGCTCAGAATAAATTAATTTACTAAAACTAACCTTTAAGTAATTTTCGAACATCCTCATTTGAAACAGGAAAGTATGAACCTATTGTAATGGATGCCATTAACAATCTGGCCTTTGATTTCAATATACACGACAAGACCTTGTACTTTGTAAATCCTTCATTGGCTGGCAGGAAAGATGAACTGACCAGGTATGGACTAGTCTTTGTAACAGCTTTTTATGTGTGGTCATCATTTTTTTATGACCATCTTCATTTCCGTCGTCATTGTCTTAGTCGTCGTTATCATTATTATCTTCATAATTATTGTCATATGATGCCCATATGCATGGTTAGTCACTATATACAACATATGAACTTGTTTTTCATAATTATATTTGACTTATTATTTGTATTTTGCTGGTTTTTTTTTATGAAAAAAAATTAGGAAAATTAAATTTTTATTTATCTAAATTTCTCATTACTTTTTTTTATATTCAGACTGGTTTTTGACCAAAATTGGAATGATCTTACCTTACCAGCATTATCATCATCTCCACTCATTTCACCACCACCACCTTTATATTTATCCATATCACCATGGTCATCACCATCATCGCCGTCACCATCGTCATCATCATCGTCGCCGTCTTCATCATCATCGCCATCATCATTTCCCATTGAAGCCGTAGCTATAGATTGGATACACAACAATTTGTATTGGACTGAGTCAGGTAGGAAGACCACTGCTTTTATTTTAGTGACACATATAACACAATAAATAAATAAATTGGATTAAGTAAATGAGATAAAATAACAATATTACTAACGTATAACATAATAATAAGTAAAATAAAAATAAAATAAAACATAACTTCGTGATTGCCAAATTCATATTTCATTTTCAAACGTTTCTGATTTACATATTTTCAGAATTGAACGCAGTATCACTGTTGTTGTTTTCATTTTATCCTTACGTTTTTGCTGCTGTTGGTGTTATTAATATTATTATTATTATTATTATTATTGTTGTTGTTGCTGTTGTTGTTGTTAATATTATAATAATATTAAATAACTTTAATTTCAATAATTAATTCAGTTTTATTAGTAAATGCAACCAAATGCCCATATGGTTTTAAAAACTTCGTTAAACGCAGTAGCCATTCATGGCGTTGTACAAAATCAACTCTAAGCAGCAACAATAACAATAGTATACGTATACAAAGTGACAATATTGTAATATCTCCAAACTTACTTGTTGATAATTTAAATAATAATACTGCTGTTAATATGGATAATAATCTAATAACCTGTTGTTGTGGTGATCAGTACAAAGATAGAAAGGACCTGAAAATGCACCAACGTTCGTGCAAAACATTCAAAAATGTAAAAAATTTGACAAATTCTCCAAACGGCCCTAATGAGGATTCCAACATGCTGACGCCAGCAAACATCACCACCACAGAATTACCACAACTATCACCAGCGAGCTACTCCATCGACGTCGTCATCAACGAATGTCGCCACTGCAGAGATACCCCAACCATCATCTCCGCCTCATCAACAGGCATCTCCATCATCGTCGTCGTCAACAGATACCGTCATGAAAGACTCTCCACTGCCAGGGATAAAGTTACCTAAATCAACAATTCAATGGTCTGAGGCCAATGCATACTTCCATTCTCAAAGATCAGCTCTAGCAAACATCGCCGACATTGATAACTTTACTACCAGTTTTCAGACATTAATATACAACTACTTTTTATCAACTTACGTCACAATTAAATAACAAACAAATTCAACAACAACATTTGAAAAACCAATCAACAAACTAAAGAAAGAATTGAAAGAAAGAACTAAAGCTGCTAGGCCACAACAACCACAACTTCGACCTCAAAATTAAAATGCTAAGCAAACAAATAATATCAAGAAAAAAGAACAAAAACAAACTGAAATAAAATTGAAAAAACACTCGATATCACAAAACAATTAAAACATAAATTTTGGCCGACATGTGAAAAATTATTCAACCCTTCTGCTGCCTCAATTCAGCTTCGAGGAATGTAAACAATTTTTTAACAACACTTTAAAGGATCAATTCTACAACAAACATCGTCTACCAAATTGGATTAAATCATTATTAAACCCCTCAATAGCTTGTGATACCAATCCCCCCACGTATAATGAAATCTTTTTAATTATCCGGAAATGCAAATCGAGAGCATCTCCTTGCTCATTGGACCAGATGTCAGTACTAGTTCTCAAAAAATGTCCAATACTCCGCACAATCTTTCATCAGTTACTGGTTGAATGTTGGAGAACGTCGTCGGTCCCTAGCTGCTGGAGGAAAGGCCTGACAATATTGATTTACAAAGGGTGGATGCCAACGACCCAGCAAATTTCAGGTCAATAACACTTCAATCAGTATTCTATAAAATTTTTTTCACATTCATAACCAATAGAATATACAAATATCTAGATATAAATAATCTCATCAATAAAAACATTCAAAAAGGCTTCTATCCCAAAGTTGACGGTGTAGCTGAACACACGCAACTATTATCTCATCTGCTAAAAGACGCTAAAAAACATCAGAGAACAATTATTGTTACCTTATTGGATTTACGCAATGCATTCGGTGAGGTTAGCCACGATCTAATTTCATCTGTTATAAGTTATCACCACACCAAGTCAGGTCAGCAATCAAATTAGATCAATATATGCCGACTACTCGATAACTGTATCGGTGTGCAACAAACTAACCTAACCTATTCAAGTAAAAAGGGGGTCCTACAAGGTGACTCGAGCTCTCCACCGCTCTTCAATCTTTGTTTTAATCCTCTGATGAAAATACTCGAAGCAAAAGAATACCAACAGTGGGGATATATATGGGGACCTACAGCCAAATTAAAATCTAGGGGTTGGCTTTAATTTTTTGACAACTCAGCAATCATTGCTAACAGTTCTGAGGGTGCCCAGAAGTTGATTGATCTCAACCTAGCCTAGTGTAAATGGACGGGTATGAAATTTAGAATAGACAAATGTAGTACATTTGGAATGAGAAAAATCATTGGAAAATATATACAGTTTTTACCCCAATTAACAATAAACGATAATAAAATTTTCCATTTGACTATCAATGATCAATTTAAGTACTTGGGAGTAATGTGAGATTTTGAAGGCAAAAACACCAAAGAGAAAAATGAACGGTGTGATAAACTCAAAATTTTGCTGCAGAAAATTGAAGAACTGGGCACGACAGCTCAATGGAAGCTAAAAATCTTCAGACGTTTTGTCCCTCCTCAAATAACATTTGAGTTACGGACCTATGATATATCGCTGACTTGGATAGAATGCACTTTGGACCGCCATATAACAGAAGCGGTAAGAGAATGGCTGTCTCTGCCTATAAGCAGCTGCATCGCTTAAGTTATCTCGCTGCCGTACAGAACTGGGCGCCTCAACATAATAGTAAAAGAGTTCACATTATTATTATTATTATTATTATTATTATTATTATTATTATTATTATTATTATTATTATGTCCTGGTTATGACATTAAACTGACCCTCACTGCCTTGTGAGTGATGTTGGATCATCAAAGGCTAGGCCCACCGCTTATAACTGTGGTTGCGTAAGGAAGGGCTTCCTGCGTAACAATTAGCCAAATAAATTACTTATGATGGAATGGCGTCGAGGGGTATTTCGGTTTCATCATAGGTAGCCAAACGCAAACCCCGATCTCGGGGAAAATGTCGTCTAAACGTGTGTTGTTGTTGTATTATTATTATTATTATAATAATAATGATAATAATTAATAATAATAATACAAACGCCAGAAATATAAATACTTGAAATTGAACTTGAATTCAGTCTACAATAACTGTTCGCTAATTATTAACTCATTTGAAATATCACCTGTGGGTTTTTATAACAATTTTAATCTAACTTTGTTTAAAATTTTATGGCCGAAATCTTTTTATGAAAAATTGATTAACTTTTAATTTATCATTAGTAGATTTAATTTGGTCAGAACATTTTGGAAACAATTTATTAAACTCGGTTTTATCATCATCATATTCAATATATTGCGGTAGGAATATTGTATGAACTTTTCTTTTCTAAACTAACATTCTCTATTAGTACTCATTTTTATAAAATGATGAGTAAAGTAGACTACCGATTTCATTAATTTCATTATTATTATAATAATTTTTATTTCAATATATCATTATCATTGTTTTAAATTAATTTCATTATATTGATTATTGCCATTATAGATGTTATTTTATTGAATAAAAGCAGTGTTCCCACTGATGGCATAGTGGTTGATACCCTTTTGTATGCAGGGAATTTTAAATTCAATTGCATCATTTGTTAAGTTTGTCATATCCTAATTCAGTCATAAACTGATTTTTTAAAAAAGCAATAATTTTACTATGAAAATATTTCTTTATAGTATGTTTAATAAAATTAATGTTACTTAATTTTTGTTTGTTAGTAAGCAGAATCCGTGAGTATTCTTTCAATTCTGCACTCACTGGACGAAATATTTATGCATATATACTTTAAACTAACTACTTTTTACTATAAAATTCAGGCTTTGTTCGTTTTTTCAACTTCAAAACATATTTGTAACCAAAATTTATTAAAAGTTTTCAATGATTTGAGAATAATTTGAATTTATTTGATCGCAGTTTCATCTAATTTGATGAAATTTTTAAAACTGCAGCCGACAATAGCATTGGCATCATGAGTTTGCTGGCTCCCAACTTTCCCAAGAACACCCTGATATACCGTAGCCTCGATGAACCCAGGGCCATTGTTGTTGATCCACGATTGAAGTATAGGTTGGTTGTTCGTTCGTTTGGTCGGTCTTTCAGATGGTTGGCTGGCTGTTGATTGGTTGGTTGGTTGGTGCGTTGTTGATTGATTGGTTAGTAGGTGTGTTGTTAGTTGGTTGGCTGGTGCTTTGTTGATTGGTTGGTTAGTAGGTGTGTTTTTGGTTGGATGGTTAGTAGGTGTGTTGTTGGGTGGATGGTTAGTAGGTGTGCTGCACGGTCAGTTGGTCTGTCAATTAGTCGAAATTCATTGATTCAAAATAACTACTTAAAGTATTTTTATAAATTTTCTTTCCGACGCACAGACGCCTGTATTGGGCAGATTGGGGTCGGAAGCCGATGATTGAGATGTCCTACTTGGACGGTTCCTCAAGGGCTGCCATCGTCACTGCCAGCAACTTCGAAATTTCCTGGCCAAATGGATTGACTATTGGTTAGTTGGTCGGTTGGTTGATTGGCTGGCTGGTTGATTGATTGGTTGGTTGTTTAGTAGGTGTGTTGTTGATTGGTTGGTTGTTGTGAATTGGATATACAGATGCAATCAATTAGCCATTTTATCAATCAGTTATTTAAATGATAAATCTGTCAATAAAATTATCAATCAATCCATTTGTTGATGGAATTTTACATGGAGCTTTTCCTGTTATTTAATCATGAGTTGAAAGGATAAATGATATATAAATAAGGATGGTACTCTTTGATAACGATGATTATTATCTTAAGGATGATGATAGTGAGGGCGATTTGGATGATGATAACGACGATGATGATGCATGCTAGTGAATGTTATCATTAATGATTCGGTAATCATAATGATGACGACGATTTTAATGATTATGATAAATGACGACAATGACAACAATGAACGCAATGAACAATGAATAATAAATAATAGTAATAAAAATAGATGATAAGAATAATAAGAAATGCATTAATGAATGCTATTGATCCGGATGGGATGGGTGTCCGGATGTAAATAGTTTTCCAAAAATTTATTCCATGCCATCACAAAAAACAACGGCTCCTAGTCCCCAGCAGGCCTTAAGTGGTCAATGGGTGCTAAGAATCCCTGGGAAGTATGCAATAGCGGAGGAATGTTGCAGAAAAATTTAGAATGGCCCCTCTATGGTACTTACGCTTGGAAGTTGATCACTGATCACTGACTGGCCGCAGCATGGAAATCGCAGAAATGCTCGAGCGTAGAAGGATTGACATCTGCTGCCTTCAGGAGACCCGGTGGAAATCGAATGGTGTCTGTCATATCAATTCAGACAAAAAAAAAATATAAACTATTCTGGAATGGTCAAAAGACGGCCAAAAATGGTGTTGGAATTTTTGTCAAAGAACCGCTAGCCCAAGAAGTACTGGATATTAAAAGGATTAACTCACCTCTCATGTGGATCAAGATTCGCCTAGAAAAGCAAACAATGACTATTTTTTCTTCATACGCACCACAAACAAGCGAATCAGAAGAGATGAAAAATGACATCTGGGCTGCGTTTTTTGACACCATCTCAACAATACCAAAATCTGAAACAATCCTGATTGGAGGCGATCTCAATGGCCACGTTGGAGAGAAAACAGATGGTTTAGACAACGTGCATGGCGGTTTTGGCTATGGAGAACGGAATGAAGATGGCAACCGCATGCTTGAGTTTGCTGAAAGTCACGGGTTTTGTTTACTGAACACATATCTTAGAAAAAGGTTGGAACATCTCATAACATACAAAAGTGGACCATCAGCCACGCAAATTGATTTCTTCGCTGTCAAGTAACAGCACCGAAGGCTATTCAAAAATGTTAAAGTTATACCCGGCGAATCATGTGTCGCCCAACATAGACTCCTTGTGGCAGACCTGGTTGTCAAACTGTCAAAACATAAGTCTAAACAAAGGTCTCGGAAAATTAAAACATAGTAGCTGAAAAGCAATATTCATCGAGAAAACTTTCAACAGATTGTCGCCACACAATTAGACCACCAATCGCAATCCAGTACAGATTGGAGGACATACAAAATCGTTTTGATAAACGCTGCAACTACAGTTTGTGGGAAAACTGGTACAAAACACCAGCATGAACGGGATACTTGGTGGTGGAATGACAGGGTACAAAATGCAATAGCTGAAAAGAAAGTTGCATTCATGTAATGGCAAAAATCAAAGTCTGTTGATGACCATAAAATTTTCCGTGAGAAGAACAACTATGCAAAACGTCAAGTTGCTCTGGCTCGGACAGATCAGTGCAGAGAGTGGCTCCGTAAAAGCAAAGCAAATGAAATTTTTGTGTCGTATAGCAAAACAAGCAAAGCTTACAAAAAAGACATCAAAAACGACAAAAATGAGATGGTTCTTGAACAAGATCAAATCAAGCCAGTGTAAATCCAACCAGTGTAAAGAATATTTCAACCGTCTGTTAAATGAAACAAATTACATCAATGTCAACTTTGACGCTCCACCCATCGAAGGTCCGATTCCAGACATCACTGTAGAGGAGCTTACAGAAGTTCTGAAAGCTATGAAGGATGGAAAGTCAGCAGGGCCCTCTGGACTCACAAATGACATTATCAAAGCATCTGGTACTGCAGGTATCCAAACGTTATTACAACTTTGCCATGAAATCTGGAGAAATTGCTCAATGCCGACTGAATGGAACTATAGCATGACAGTTCCGCTATACAAAGGCAAAGGTCATCCATTGAACTGTTCATCATATCGGGGTATACGTCTGTTAGAACACTCCCTGCAAATTGTCGAGAAAATCATTGAGAGAAGATTAACGTCGTGCATTACCATCGGAAATTATCAGTTTGGTTTTCTAGCGGGGAAATCAGCAATTGATACAATTCACATCCTTTGGCAACTGCAAGAGAAGTACCTCGCAAAGCATCAACAACTATCACACATTTTTGTAGGCCTTGAAAAAGCATTTGATCGAGTTTCCCGTGAAGCAATTAGGTGGAGTCTACGTCGACAACTCATTCCAGAATATCTTGTTCAACTTGTGATGGAAATGTAAACGAATACTAAAACTCTCGTCAGCACAACGGTTGGAAACACAGATGCATTTGACATCGGCGTTGGAGTTCACCAAGGCTCGATTCTCAGTCCACTGTTATTTATAACTGTGATGGAAGAAATCACAAAGCCGATACACACCGGTGACATTCCGTATCTAATATATGTTGATGATATTGTTTTAACAGCCACGTCTGAGCAGAATGCAGCACAAATGTTTGAAGATTGGAACACCAGTCTGGCCGATCATGGATTCAAAGTCAACATCAGCAAAACCAAAGCAATGAACACTGGTGAACCCATCCAATCCACAGCTACTGGACGATGGTCCTGTTCAGTTTGTAAAGCTGATGTAGGTAACAATTCAATCAAGTGTCAGCTGTGCAACCAGTGGTGTCACAAACGTTGTTCAAAAATAATTGGTAATTTATCTAAAGTTTCCAATTTTGTTTGTTCTGCTTGCATCAATCCACAACAACAAATTCGAAATAGCAATGTTTTTGAAGCCATTAAGATAGAGAAAGTCACATCGTTTCAATATCTAGGGGATGTTCTTGATTTTACTGGAACCGCTGAAGCTGCCGTTCGAGCACGCATACAAGCAGCCTGATTTGGCGCAAAAAATTGATGGCAAAGAAAACAATGTCCTACCTCGGGAGAACTGGGTCTCTGGACGCTAAACGATGATTGGTTGATTCTGACGAAAATTATGACGAGGACAGTGATGAGGATGATGACGACTACGACCATGATGATGCAGAACTGATTAACCGATGACGATGATGACGACAGACATTCAGGACAACCAGTTGTACTGGGTGGATGCCAAGCTGAACAGCATCAACAGATACGACGTTCATCTAAACAAGCCGTTCCTCGTTCATCAATCAGCCCACCTACTCACCCATCCATTCTCAGTTGCTGTTTTCCAGGTGGTGGTGATGATGATGATGATGGTGATGAAGATGATGAGGAAGAGGAGGATGATGATGATTTTGATGATTATGATGATGATAATGGTGATGGTGAGAGTGGTTAGGGTAATGATTAGGATGATAATGAAGATGTTGATGATAATGAAGATGATTTTGATGATGGTGGCGATAAAGAAAATGAGGATGATGATGGTGGTGATGTTGTGAAAAAATGTATCGTGTTTATTTTAAGAGTCTGATAACCTGATAGCCTGAAAGCTATTCACTATGATAATAATTAATATTACAATATATTTTTAAGATTCACATATTCATATCATAACTTTCAGCGATAAAAATTTATTGCTTTGTTTTATGCTTAAATCAAAATAGTGTGAAATTTCAGTGTCACTGATAACGTGATATGATAGGTTGTTAATGGTGCAATATCTCTTGCTAGTTGTTGGGATATGATGAGGTATATCACTTTCAACACCACTTATAAAAATTGTTTTGAGATTAATAACAACGTGAGAAATTCACATTTATGAGTTCTTTTATGACTTTTTTTTGTTTATGCCACTAGTTTTTTTTGACTGACTTGAACATGTTTTGTCGGGAACAAATGACTTTCTTTGATAGCCTTGTATAGATTTCCAGTTAACACTGGACTATTTTTGCCTTTTGTTATCATTTTTCAAGTCTCTACTACCGCTACCAAGATTTTTGTTTGTAATTGGTGCGAACATTCCCTAAATTTATTTTAATTATTCAAAAAAATTTCCTATTTTCATTTTGTATTTGAACATTTTTGTTAACTCACTCGATCAACGGCAGGATCACATATACTGGTCAGACTGGACCAGTCACTCGATCATGAAGATCAAGAAAAATGGACCACTGCAGCCTGTCAGTATCGTGAATGACGTCATGTATCCAAAGACCATAAAAATCGTTCATCATTATCTTCAGCCGCACGGTTAGATAGTTCTAATATGACAGTTTTTACATTTTATTTTAACTATCTAATTAATGATGTTTAGTCCCTTAGTACGTACATTTTTAGAAATTAGTTAAATGTCTACACAAATTTATTCTCTCTTTCTCTTTCATTTAGATTTTGTTAACACTAAGCAAATCAGCTGTGATCAAAATGTCTTATTACTTATATTTCTTTTTTAAGAATTTATAATCTTTTTGCATATATATCTCAAATTAACATCTTGTTTATGTTCGTATTGAAGTTTTATTTGCTATGAATTCAATTAAAATAAAATTCTCAATTAATTTTGTTAAAATCCATCTCGACCAACAACCGCCACTATATTAAGAACCTAACGAGTGCAACTTACACGATGGTCCAATGAGATGCTCGCACATTTGCGCCCCTCGTCTGATTGGAGGGCGCAGACCCTCCTACAGATGTCTCTGCCCTGCCGATGATGTCAATACAACCTACAAGATGATTGATAATTACACTTGCGTCGCTTACAACCGTTCTTTTGATGGTTGGTTACACACACGCACACTCACATACACGCACGCACACACATACATACACTAACTTAAATACATGCACAATACACACACACATACACACACCATACACACTCACGTACATACACACACACATACATGTATGTTAAAACCAAATCGTGATGAATGACACCAAACGGTCAAACATCTGATTAAAAGGGTTAACACTTTAATGTATCGTTAGTCTCACACGTCGGCGTTTAAATTAATATTTTCCGACACACAAACACGCAGAAATCGCTGCAACAAACACGAGATGTGGTTTATTGCAAAAAAGAACTCTCTGTTGTCACCTGACCGAACACCAATCATTTTACACAATGTTTTAATAAATTTTGAAGTATTGGGGTCCATGGGTCCAAGGACCTCGATACATATTGGCAAAAAATCTAAGTTCATATTTTTTAATTTTTTCGTCCGATGCCCTGATTGCAGCCAAACCACATTCTTTGCTGGTAAGGTGAACGTAGCGCTCGGCCAAGGTACCAGGAACCGTAACATCCCAAGCCAAACATTTACCGGCTCTCCAGGGAGTAAGAGTACAACCGTCTGGTCGCTTGCCATCTTGCACTGAAATGCCAGATGGTTCTTTCAAAACAGGAATAGAAGCTTTAGAAAAAAGCCGGCAAATGTAATCATTCAAAGCTGAATGACGAAGTTGACGGACTTCACCTAAACGGCAAACCAAACCATGATTACCAAATTCGTCCGCCTCCGCGCCGCAACGACACAGATATTTATTTTGTATACTTAGGCCAAGTCTGAAACCAACGGCAAATCTAACAGACTCGTCATCGAGTCTGGTGCCTACGGAAGTGTTGGGCCACGACCTCAACCAACCACAACTAACATCACTAGTTGCAGCCAATAAGCGGGCGGAGGAAGAAGCACCGACACCAGAAGACAGAAGTTCATGAAAAGTCTTCTTATATTGCTCATCTAAAATTTGAGCTTGTGAAGGGCTTTCAGGTGTGGTCGGCGGTGGTGGGATGTCACAGCAACAACAAAATCGGCAAAGCAAGGCGGACTGGAGGTCAAGAGTGGCAGCGGCAGAAGATTTATAGACGATTGGTGCCAACTGAACCACACTGAGTAACCCCAGACCACCATACCGCACCGGCAGCTGAGCCTGGGACCAGCCACTGTCAGTCAAATGAACATTGCAAATGGCTGACAAGGCGGTACGCAAAACATCATCAAATCTGCCCAACAACAATGGGTTAATGTAGCTGGATGTACGAAGAAAATACACCATTTTGGGCAAACTGAGGGCGCTTCGGACAATAGTCAAGGCGTCGTGGACGGAAAGATGAGACACTCGGTCGAGGGCGAACTTGAGTTCTGAAAACTTTTTATCAAAAAATTTAATTTGGGAGTCGCCCTCGAACAAGGGTGTGCCCAAAAAACTTAAATTTGATTTTTGAACAATGGGTACGTCCGCCAACACCGGTGGCAAATATAGTGAATCTTTAAAATAGAGTTCACATTTATTGGTGTTTAACTCTAGCCCAATGGTGTTGGCTTCGTTTTTCAAAAATTCGTAGTTTTTGGCCAGTGTTTGGCTTTTTAAAGCAATGCTGATGTCGTCCAGGTAGCCACAAATGAAAACGGACGACAGTTTTTCCAACAAGGGATGCAGGGTCAATGCAAATAGAAGAGGTCCCAGTGGATCACCCTGTTGCACGCCCTCGGACGATTCAACCACCCAGGTGTGATAGCCAAGCGAAGAAGCGAGGCCGTAAGCAGAATGGCAGAAATTATATATTCTGGGGCAGAAACATTTGACGGCCTCCAGCATTGAATCTCTTCTCATGGCGTTGAAGGCATTTTTAAAATCGATTTTTAGAAATCCCCATTGATTAGGGAGGTCTGTGACCAATTTTCGAACGGCGTGAACGGCGGCCTCAGCACCTCCTTTCACGCCAACGCCCAATTGAACCGGGTAAAATTTGGCCCTCATTTCATCCATTACCAGGTTCAAAGCACATTTACTCGCCAATCTACGCCAACAGTTACCAACAGCGGTTGGCCTAACTCCTCCATCTGTTTTGTTTAAGGCTATCAGGCGGCCTCCAAAAAAAACGGCAAACCGTGGGTGGACAGGCGCCCGACAGAACCAAATTTATAAATTTCGTTAGGGAAATTAATAGGTCGTCAATTGGCAGGGGGCCTGAAAGTAGGTCTTTGAGATGCTGAGGACGCAAACCGTCGAGACCTCCGGACGAGCCATTTCCAAAAGACTTTATGGCCTTGAGCACCTGGGTGGAAGAAACGCAACCACTTGTTGGTTCTTGCGCAAGAAATGCACGCCTGTCAGTTGGTGTTTTTGGATGTATGAACCGTAGTTTTTCTAAGGTTTCAGGCGTGTTTACTGCCAGGCCCTCGGGCGAGCAGACAAGTCTGACGGCTGCTGAAACGTTTCCCTGCTCTATGCAAGAAGACACCGCATTTATCCACCGGTCAGGGTTGTGGCCGCGTGGATTTGCGTTGATGTGGTTTTCAAAACCCGAGAGCAGGGACGTAACCTCAATCGTGGAGTATTCGGACAGGCGCTTGTTAATCTGGTTGCCTTGGTTGACCCGGCGTCCCCCTCTGGCAGGTTTTTGAAGGACGTATGGAAAATACAAAAAAAGTCTGCACCAGTGAGCGGGATCACCGGAGTCACAACAAACGGCCGTCAGTAACTCGTGCAGTGCATTGCTACATTTTTCTCTACACGGTTTTGGAATGTGATCGTGCAGTGGTACGCGTTTCAAAACAGCCGTCATCCTGTCAAAAAAAAGGGGGTAATCCAAACTGGTAGGAATCTCCGAAACTGATACGGACACACCCATTATGAGTCTATCGCTAGATGCGGCTACGTGAGGCGGACCGGTCACAACCTGTGGTGCATCCACCCTTTTCCTTGAACCCGAGCATTCCTGGCCTTTAACCCTTCCACCATGACGGCAAAGTTTCCCGTCTGGTGTGATCTTGTAGTGATTGGAGCAAACAGGGCACTGGTGTAAAACCGGGGCCATACAGGTGATTTGGTGAGATAAGTAATTTTAACAAAACATAAATTTAAATGAACTAAGTACGTTTAAAATTTAAAATACGAAATTATAATAAAATTCTTAGGTAATGGAAAAAATAAAGGTAAGTTATGAATAATAATATAGCAGCGCACAGTTGAGGCAGGTACGAAACAAGCAACTGCTGTGCGCTATGAATTAACCATGCCAATTAAAAAAATTAAAAGTTGAAAAATCTAATTAAATCAACAAAAAACCAAGGCAAACTGCGACAAAATGACGTGAAAGACTCAATCCCAGGATGATAACACGCAAAATAATCCAAAAGTTCAATAAAACAAAAGTTTAAAAACATATTAAAATACAAAATTTAAATTGAATTCAGAAATCGGTCGGCGCAAGTGTGAGCTAACGATGTATGTGTATGTATGTATGTATGTAAACTAAACAACACACACACACAATACACAGAACGTCAAGCATTTGTAAAGAAAGTTTCCAGAGAGGGCAAGGTCAATGTTGTTGCAGTTGGGGCCTGTTTGGTAGTCTTGTTGTTCGCGACGTCATTTATGGTCAGTTGCATGTTGATGCTATGATGTCGATGATGATGGTGATGATAATGGTGGTGGGGCGGATGATGATGGGAATGATAATGATGATGGGGATGATGATGATGATGATGGGAATGATGATGGTGGTGGGGATGATGATAATGATGATGGGAATGATGATGATGGTGGTGGTGATGATAATTTTGGTTGTGTTATTATGACGAGCAGAAATGACGTTGATGATGTTAACGACAAAGTTAAGCTGTTTTTTACTAAATTGTTGTAATTATTTACTTTTTAGCAATACCATTAAGTTACCATTAAGTTCTGCTTCATATGAAGCTGTAACTCTTTGTAGGTTGGCGGTGGTTAATAAGATTATGATGATTATGATGATATGAGCAATGATTATGATAATACTACTACTACTCATGGTAATGAAAATGACGATGATGATTCTTGGATAATTATTTTTTATATTTAAAAAAAAATGTTTAATTAATATGGCTCACGTGAAAATAAAATATTAAACAGATCTTTACAAAAGTTCGAAGGCTCTACCGACAAAGGCAAGTGAAATCGATGAACTTTGATAATCCGGTCTACAAAAAATCGACCGACGACGACGAATACGACGACGGGAATGTTGCTGCAAGCGCCGTCGCCCCCGCCGCCACCAGCAATACCAACAACACGACGACAAACAATGACAAAAACGATGATAGCAACAATGATAACAATAATGGAAGTAATAACAATAATGTTGATGACGTCAATCCCGTTGTCGTTGTCCTATCTTATGACGGATCACATGTCACTTCGGTTAGTTTTTTTTTCTGTACGTAAGTTGCGTCGGATTTATTTTGAAATTATTTAATTCTTATGTTGATTTATGTTAGCTTATGTTAAATCTTACAAGTTTTGGTGTCATTTTAAGTTTGGTATTTTTTTGGCTTCATTTCAATTATAATTAGTTGTGTTAATTTTAGTTAACAAATTGTAAACATTATTATATTAATTTATAATTCGAATGTTTGTCTATTTTTTTTTTGTTTGATTTTAATAGCAATATTAAAAAAATTTTTTTTTAAATTATTTTTAGAATGCCGAATCTCTGACACTGATTCAAAAAGAAAATATGTGAGGATAAAGAAGAAGAGAGGAGAAAGATGATATGATGACTGAAGATAATGATAAGGATGATGATTGGATGTTTACGATGACCACAATGTTGATGATGATGTCAATGACGACGATTATGGGGATGACGAAAATGATTGAAGCAATTGGTATTATAATGATAAGACAACTGATGATGATGATGTTAAAACTGATGGTGATGTTATAATGACTGAGTTATGTATGATATTATCATTATTTTGGCTGAGGCATTTCATCCGATAGTTTGTTAATGGAGAAAGTTTTAATTTATACTGGATGCCATGCTATAGGCGAGATGAAAGTTTATTAATTTTATTGCAAAAAAAGCTCCATTTTAATAATTTTATGATCTACTTGTATAATTGTTTTACTGTTATTATCTGTCGTCTTCTTTGTATATAACAATATGTAACTTATCATATTTTTACACTCCTCATAATACACCATCATATCGCTTCAATGCTCATCTTATTCTATCAACTATATCACTCAACATACGCTTACTGGATCATATTCAAACGCTCATAATGTTATGTCGTCATATCATAACCACACACTCATCATATTATAACATCAGTTCACCCAGCATTTTTAAAAAGCGGTTAGGGTTAAGCTTATTATAAAAATATGTATTAAAGTCATATGAGAATATGTCATAAAGAGTGTCATACTCACATACTCAGACGTCATACTGTATTATTATTTTATACTCATACATTCATCATACATACACATATACAACCATACACTCGTTACATTACATCATAATGTCACATTCAGAAACTCACCATATATAAGTGTTGAATATAAAAAAATAAATTATTGTAACGATGACAAGGGAGTAATTGTTTAGCGTTAGTCAGTGAGGGCTTTACATTAGGTATTGGTGTTATTTTGGGTTTTAATTTTCATTCTAAAATGGCCAATAAATGGTAAGCTAGTTATAATAATAATAATAAAAAATATACTAATAATATTTTTATTGTTAAAGATTAAGATAATTTTTATATTTATCTAAGCTTTTAAACAATGATACTGCCACTTAAGCACGTTGTTCACACTCGCATACATTCAGACAGACACACGCATGTTAATTATAATAACAACAACATTTAACACGCATGTTAATTATAATAACAACAATTATTTTCATATTAATGCTATTGTGATCATTATCTTATTCGCTAATTATTCGCTTATTGTTGTAGGATATTTTATGCGTTTATTGCTCGTTTATAAATATATATATTATATATATATACCCGAGGATGTTGAAGGTAATTTCATGTTTAACTTCGCTATTTGAAACTGAATCTCTATTTTTTCGATTCTTTTTTGGCCAAGCAAGTTTATATAATTTTATTTGTAACATTTCATTTCAATTAGAAAGCACTTTTCAATAGTTAAATATTTGCTACATTACTGTCTATATATTTTTTTCTTTTTCTTCATACTTTTTTAGTTAATTTAATTTAGTCTATTTACTTACAGTTTGTTTTTTTCATAATGATAAACATTTCACGTCGCCACAAATCTTCAAAATTTATTCCGTTTCTATTCCTGTCCCTTTCATTTAATTGGGCGGGCTGGCTGGTTGGATTGGTTTCGTTTGGGACTTATGACATAACACTTTTAAATATGTTCTTCTGAGAAAATTATTATGTTTGCAAACAATAAAAGAAGAAACTTACACAAATATTTGAATTCTATTTATTAAAAAAGTGAATTGTAAAAAAAGGTGATAAATTTCATAATATGTCATCTTTTCTGGTTTTAGCTGTAGCAAACTCGTTGATTATCTTTTCAAAATTTAACCCTAGAACGACCAATGATGTTTGAAACAATGTATCTTTGTGAATAATTTTTAGATTTTTTCAACTTTTGTGACATTATCTGTTTGTATCAATACACATAATAAAACAAAAACATTTTAAATATACAACCCGGAAATACGCAAAAATAAAATTTTAGCACCGATTACTAATGGGGGCTGTTGGATTCCGCGCTATACTACAAAAAATTATGAGTTTTATAAATTGTTTTTTTGTGTAATTTTTTGTTTACTTTGCTGTCATTTTGTCGTGAATATTTTAATAAGTTTTATAACGATAGTTCGAGATTTTCATTATCGTAGGCATGTAAAACGGTGAAAGATGAAAGTGATAGAAAAGATTATCGTAATCGATATATTTTATCATTTTCTGATGAAAATGAAGTAGATGAAGTAATTGTATTTTTATATTATTTCCAGTGGTCAGGCTGCTATTATCTTGTTGCTGTTGGCTTAAGATTATTAAAACAATAACTGAATTTCAATAGCCATTATTAATTAGCAGCAATTCTTTTGTCCAGCTCACTAAATCTGTGCAACGTGTTCATCTGAAATAAGTCTGTTCAGGAGTCAGGAATCTAGAGAAATAACTGTACTCTACAAGTTCAAGGGGTCGGTTATAACAATATATATAACCTTTATTGACTTCAAGAAAGCATTTGATCAATCAATCAAGATATGAAACCCATCTTACATCATTATGGAATCCCATTTAAAATCGTAAATGCAATCAAAATCATATATGAAAAGTCGACCAGTCAAGCATACATTGGAGTTGAACTCTATGAATCTTTTGCATTCAAAACAGGTGCTTTCCAGGAAAATGTTCTTGCAACATTTCTCTTCATTATTGTGATTAGTTATGCATCAAGACAGGGATTTTGGTTACTTAACCCACAAGTGTATTTTACCTCAACTGAATAGCAAACGACCAAAAGATCTTTCACAAGTAAGCATAAAGAGATCATCCGAAGGAAAGTAAATGATCTTGCTTTTGTGAATGAAAACACTCGAGTTTAACAAGCTGAAAAAGCGACTATTTAACAAAGCGTGTATACCAGTGTTGCTCTACGGCTGCGAATCATACCCTCATATTTGCCCTAGGCCTAGAGGAAAAGCTTGACATCGCTGTCAGCAAAACCATTAAAAAAGGCAATTACAATTTATAGGCCATAGTTTTCGCATGGAAGAAAAAGAACTGGCAAATATATGCCCTGTAAAAACCAGAAGAAAAAAAACAGACGAAGCAGACCATGTTTGAAATACAGAAACAAAAACCACCAACATTTTGAACATATGAATCTGGAGAAAGAGCAACTATATGAAGAACTGACTGAGCTTACAAAAGATAGAAAGTTGTGAAAATAATTTTCGCAATTAAAAAGCCCGCTCGATGATGTTGAGAATATGCTGAACGAGAACGTCCTGTGATGTTTTATATGTTTTATTCAATATAAATTCAATTCAACACAAGTGTGCGTTACGATATCCCAGTTTTTGATAAACGTCCAAAAGGTACTAAATATATAAAGATACAAATGTCACATCTTCCCTTTTAAAAGTTCAATTTTATTGTTTTTATTTAATACAAATATTTAATTAAAAACATAGTTCTTAAATCTAACAGGGAGTTTTGATAACGACTACTCCGTGTCCTCAGGATGGATTCTTAGGAAGACTGTGTGGTGTCATCTGTTGGACTGTTGCACTGAGGGTGAATTGGGAATTCCAACCTTTGAGGTTGTGTTGCCTCTAATGATGGAAAATGATCTGTGCTATCATCTACTGGTGCTGCACATATAGGTGGATTTTCTTTGGTGTAGATAAGATCTCTACGGTTCCGTCTTAAAGTTGAACCATCCTCTGTGTCAACAATGTATGATCTTGGAGCATCATGTTTGAAACGAACAATTCCACGTTTCCATGTTTTATTGTGATTCATACGTACTACACCTCCTTCGTTCAAACTTGGAAGAGGTTTCGATTTACGATCATAATACTTTTTTTGTTGTTGCTGTCTGTAAACTAGATTATCTCTACAACTTTTGGATGTAAGTTCTGACTTGTTGTTGGAAGCTTGGTTCTTAAGGAACGACTCATCAACAGCTACGCTGGACTAAAATCAAGACCTGATAATGGAGCTTGGTTCTTAAGGAACGACTCATCAACAGCTACGCTGGACTAAAATCAAGACCTGATAATGGAGCATTTCTGTACTGTAAAAGTGCAATATATGGATCTGTATTGCTGTCATAGGTTTTTAACTGGCTGAATTATTCGTTCTGCTTGTCCATTTGATTTAGGATATTTTGGACTGGATGTTGTTATCTTAAAGTGCCAATCATTTGCAAATCTGTGCATCTGGTTGCTAGAAAATGGCAAGTTGTCTGCTATCATTTCTTCAAAATTTGAAGTTCAAATAAACCATGCCTAGAAAATATTGCTTTCAGTTGTAATATGACTAAATCTGATGTTCTTGTTCCTAATATGGCAATTTCTGGAAACTTTGAAAAATAGTCTACAACCAGGAGTTAATCTTTACCTGCAAATTGAAAAATGTCAACTCCAATTTTAGCCCAAGGTCTCTGAGGGATTAGAGGCAACACAACCTCAATTCAACACAAGTGTGCGTTACGATATCCCAGCATTTGATAAACGTCCAAAAGATTCTAAATATATAAAGATACAAATGTCACATTTAAAAAGGGAGATGTGACATTTGTATCTTTATATATTAAGTATCTTTTGGACGTTTATCAAAAACTGGGATATCGTAACGCACACTAGTATTGAACTGAATTTATATGTAATAAAACATAAAACATCACACGTCCAATAAGGGAAATTTGTAAATTTCAATTTAGTGCTATTGAACTGTCAGATGAATATATTTTCTTGCAAATGTCCCATGTAAAAGTTGGAAGCAAAACACTAAAAGGAAAGCCTATTGCAACTCACCCCATTTCAAGAATTTCAAGAAGCTTTTTTAAATGCTTTCTTTGAATTTTTGGGGTGATAATTCAGATTTGTAAATTTTTTTTAAAATTATGTCTATTGTTTCTTTAACTGGTATATTTGTGAATAAAGATTCAACATCTAATGAAGAAATTTTGATGCTATTGTTAGGTTTGAAGGTGGACAGAAGATCAATAAATTCTTTGCTGGATTGGAGTGTATGGAATAATTAAATTGTTGAGTACTTTAGCAACTGAGTATGTTACAGTTGGTATTTGACTGCCTATAGACTTGAATGGGTTATCGCTTTTCTGTGTTTTACAGTTTTATACAGATATTTGGTTCATATTCATCAATCAATTTTAAGATTTTATCACCGGCAGTTTTATTAATTTTTAAATAATGCCATTTAATGATTTCTTTAGTTCAGTCATCGGGTCTTTTTCTATAATTTTGAATTTGTAAAAACTACCAATAAAGAGAAATAATGGGTTAGAACAAAGTATCCTTTTGAGCCAAAAAATTATTAACGTACAGATAATGGTATATATAAGGTACAACTAATATTTAATAACAGACTACATTGAAAATGGTGAAAGAATATTATAAACATGCTTTTTCTGTATAAAATAAAAGTCAAAATGAAAAGAAGAGAAGTTAAAAGTTAAAAACACAATATATCTAAAAATTGCAGAGGCTGTCCAGTTTTATTAAATTTTTATGATGAACTTGGATAATTCTATTTTCAACAAACTGAACAATTTCCAAAAAATTCTAGTAAGGAAAATTGAAAAGACGAAATTTAAATTGATTAATGCCAACGATTTGGTCGAATTCATACAATACTGTATGAAATATGATCTCCTTCCAATATATATATATATATTGGAAGGAGATATATATATATATATATATATATATATATATATATATATATATATATATATGTATATATAAATTTACAGTTTTTAAGAAAATCAACCGCGTTAATACAATTATTATATTTATAATAAAATTTTAATTAGAAAACTTGAAAAATTAATGTATAAATATAATAATTGTATTAACGCGGTCTAAATCCTAATATATATATATATATAAATATATAAATATATATATATATATATATATATATATATATATTTCATTAAACGCGATGCTTATATTATTGTTATTTAATTTTTTATTAAGATTTTCTATTTTTCTTACTAGTTTTTTATAATTATAATTTAAATTAAAAATTAGAACACCAATATTCATTATATAATTATTTATTAAGCGACGTTTCGAATTTTATAATTCATCTTCAGGCAATTTAATATTAATTCAAATAAAACATAACAATAAACTGTCAGATGACGTAATAAGAGTTGAGCGCGAAAGTAACGTAACGATTAAAGTTAAATAACGTAAGTAGTTAAATTAAGTATAATAAACAATTATTTTGTAATATAACATAATAAAATATATTATATGTGCAATATCGTGTTAATAATAATAATAATAAATTACACATTTCGTGATGAAGGTAAAATAAAATTGGAATAAATTTGTGTGTTCAAATTAGGTTTATAATATTAATAAATAGAGATTCTAAAATTTGTAGTCTGTTAAAATTAGTGTCTTTCATTAATATTTTAGTATTATCTTCTAATATTTTGCGGGATAATTGCTGGTTGTGGCAGTCATGGTAGTGTTGATTTGGAGCTCCGATGTTCAAATGGCAGGTTAAACGGCGTGTCAGTTTTGTGGTAGTCATTCCAATATAAGAAGATGGACGAAGCCTACAGTCTTCGTGAGGACATAGAAATTGGTAGATGACGTGGGAGTGCTGTGTTGTTGCTAGTTTAACGTTGGGACTATTTTTTATTAGTAGTTGTTGCGACTTAAAATTTTTATAATAAATAAGAAGGTTTATTTTTCCATTAGAATCAACTGGATGGACTCCTTTTTTAATGATTTTTCTAATTATATATTCGTCTTCTTTATACGAAGAGCTCATTAAGTTACGATAGAATAAAGTTAATTTTGCACTGTCGGTATTGTTGTTTGAGTTGTTGTTATTGTTATGAATGGAGTTTGCGATAACGAGGTTGTCATTGATTGTGTTGTTATCATTGTCATGATCCACATGGTCATCGTTATTGTCGCTGTTATTGTTGTTGGAGTTGGTAATAGAGTTTGCATCATTGTCACCGACATGATCAGCAACAACGTCGTTGTTTGAGTTGTTTACATTACTTACAACACAAACAACAATGACGACAATATAAGCGATAATAACACGAACAATAATGATAGACGTATTATCAATGATCATGATAATGATAACACAAATAACAACGAAAACAATGGTAACCATGTTACTACTGCACAAGTCATTGTCGATAACCTAATCAACAACGACAACCATGTTATTTCCAATAATCTTGTCAGATGAACTTTGACGTTGTAAAAATTAACTTTGGTGTTGTAAAATTGAACTTTGATGCGAATTAGGTGTCAGGTTTCTTAATTGGCTGGTCATCTTCTTTGGTCTCCTTTTCTTCATCGATAGCATCATATTCTTCTTTGTCACTATTTACGATGCTAGTTTTTATTACTTCTTTGTTTTCGTTGTTGGTTAAGCGCCGGGTTGGAAGTAAGGTTGTCATTTTTTGTTGTATATTTATTTTTGGTTTATTGATGTCAATTAGGACTGCTTCTGCAATTTTAAGATGCGTGTATTGCTGTTCTGGTATGGTATATTACTTTGGTGTTGCTGTCGAGGATTTCACGGCTAATTGTGATTGAGTGTGTTGAGTCCAAATGAGATTTGATAGCACCACTCTGTTTATGCATCGTAAGCCTTCTAGTCAGTGAGGTAGTAGTAATCCCGATATATGAGTCATGTTGACTTGCACAGCCGTCAAAGGGGCAATTAAATTCATATATTATGTGATTACGCTTTAACTCAGAGTTATCTCTAGGACTGCAGTTGTTTTTCAATATTAGGTCTTTTTGTTGTTGTAATAAATTCGGAGTTTAACTTTACTATTTGGGTTGGTTGGTGTGACATTTTTATTGATGATATGTTTAAGAATAGCTTCATCTACCTTGTATGCTGTTGACATGTGATTTCTGTAATACAAGATAATGTCGTTATCTTGATTGTCTTGACAAAGTCAATATTTCCCTATATATACAGCAAGGAGCACTGATTATGATTCATTCGGAATCGAAATATGGCCTTATTTGCAGCATGAATTCGAAAAATAAGTTTATTTTGAATTTTAATAAACTAAACGTTCACCAAAAAACTTTAGTGAGAAAAATCGAAAAAACGAACTACAAACATATTAACGCCAAACATTCGGTAGAATTTATAGAATATTATATATATATATATATATATATCGGTTTAAGACTGTCAGAAATGCAATTATTGATAAAAATCACTGCATGTTTGGCGTTAGTTAATTTCCAATTTAACTTTTCGATTTTTCTAACGGTTGATCGTAAATCATTATAGTATCTTTAGTTCAAAACCAAAATTTTTGTTTATTTTAAGCATGATAGAAAAGAAAAGCTTTTTTTGGTATTCCTATACCATCTTTGGTGTTTAAATTGATATGTTGTGGTTGTGTTGTTCCCAGATGCAGATTAGTTACAAACTCAACAATGCGGAAAATGCGGTGATATTTTTAATATATATATATATTTATAAAGATTACTGCATTTCGGCATTATTCAACTTGTAGTTGTTCTCAATTGTTTCGCATTGTATTTATGATAGTCTAAACCCAATATATACATATATATATATATATATATATATATATATATATAAATGTATAGGTATACACCAGCAACATCATTAGCAACAACATCAACACCAGGAACATTAATGACAGCACTAGCAACAGTGTCAGCAACGACATCAAAGAAAACCCCAGTAACATTACCAACAACAGTACCAAAAAAAGTAAAGTCGCTGGGACTGCCGATGTAACAGCAACTCCTCCTGCAATTTATAGAGACATTAATAAGCTGTTAGCTCTAGCTAACAATTACACAGAGGATACTGATTCGAATAGTCATTTGTTATCCCCTGAACAATTGGATCAAGTTTCTAGCGCCGGAATATTCAACATGGAAGTTTTGCAGGCAGAGCTACTGAATGCTGAGACTCGTCGAGATTTGAACGTCAACAACTTGTTGAAATACGCCAACGAGGAAAAGCAAATTCTCCAGCAAGAAGTGTTATGCAAGATACCCACCTCTGAATCTCCACCCCCTCCATTATTTTCACCTCAAAACGGATTTCCACAATTCGTTGACACTGGGTTAATCAGTGGTGCCTTGTAACAATAAAACTTAATTAACTTTTCTCGAGGGAAAACGTCCAAGTCCAAGAAGTGAAACTGTCCTAGAAATTGAGGAAGATCCATTGGATCTAAGGTGCATCCAACTCCGTGTCGATCCTGAAAATATCTTCTTGCTAAAATATGAGAAGGGTGTAGAAGAAGAAGAGGAGAGAGCAATTAAGTGTTATGCAAGACACCTACCTCTGGATCTCCACCTCCTCCATTATTTTCACCTCAAAACGGATTTCCACAATTTGTTGACACTGGGTTAATCAGTGGTGCCTTTTAACAATAAAACTTAATTATTTTTTTCCGAGGGAAAACATCCAAGTCCAAGAAGTGAAACTGTCCTAGAAATTGAGGAAGATCCATTGGATCTAAGGTGCATCAGTAAAGATAATTTCCAACTTCGTGTCGATCCTGAAACTGTCTTCTTGCCAAATATGAGAAGGGTGTAGAAGAAGAAGAGGAGAGAGCAATTGAGCAAACAGATGCAAATGACAGCAGTGTTTCAGAGTGTCTGAAAAATTTTGAGATGTTGAATAATGCTGAAAATGCAGTGATCTTTATAAATAAATGCTATAGCTATTAAGGCCATAAGTCTTCTAATAATAAATGACATATATATATATATATATATATATATATATATATATATATATATATATATATATATATATATATATAGAGTTTTCAAGAAAATCAACCGCGTTAATGCAATTATTATGTTTATACGTTAATTTTTCAAGTTTTCTAACTAAAATTTTATTATAATTATTTAATTTATTAAGTAAAAAACTAAAATTATTATTGTTCATGTTTATTAATATAAATAATTGCAAAAAGCTTTTTCGATATAGAATATATCATCGTCAGTGCAAAATATTTTTAAATAATAACGAAAATTACCGTTTATAAACAAATGACGTCATACAGTATAACTTAATTTTAAGCGCGAAACATTTTTGAAAATATTATTAAGCGCCGGGTTGGGAGTGAGGTTGTCATTTTTTGTTGTATATTTATTTTTGGTTTATTGATGTCAATTAGGACTGCTTCTGCAATTTTAAGATGCGTATAGCTGCTGTTCTGGTATATTACTTTGATGTTGCTGTCGAGGATTTCACGGCTAATTGTGATTGAGTGTGTTGAGCCCAAATGAGATTTGATAGCACTAATCTGTTTATGCATCGTAAGCCTTCTAGTCAATGAGGTAGTAGTAATCCCGATATATGAGTCATGTTGACTTGCACAGCCGTCAAAGGGGCAATTAAATTCATATATTACGTGATTACGCTTTAACACAGATTTATCTCTAGGACTACAGTTGTTTTTCAGTATTAGGTGAGACGTCTTTTTATTGTTGTAATAAATTCGGAGTTTAACTTTACTATTTGGGTTGGTTGGTGTGACATTTTTATTTCTGTAATACAAGATGATGTCGTTATCTTGATTGCTGGTATTAGAAAGGTTATTGTTGTGTAGTAATTTGCCTTTAACAATCTTTTCAATAGAATAAGTTTTATATCCATTGTTTACAAGCAGGTTGGTGACTCTTTTTAATTCAGCGTCGCGATTTTCAATATCGGAAGTGTGTGAATGCCCGGTTTACAAATGATTTTATTGTGCTGTCTTTAAATTGTTCGGTACATTCACTTGCTTAATCAACAATGAAAACAAAGAAGTAATAAAATCTAGCATTGTAAATAGTGACAAAGAAGAATATGATGCTATCGATGAAAATGAGGAAACCAACAAAGATGGACCTGCCAATAAAGAAACCTGACACCTAATTTCTATCTATCAATAAGTTCACTTTGACAAAGTGAATATTTCCCAATATAAACTAAATCGCACTGATGATGATTCATTCGGAATCGAAATATGGCCTTATTTGCAGCATGAATTTGGAAAATAAATTTATTTTGAATTTTAATAAACTAAACGTTCACCAAAAGACTTTATTGAGAAAAATCGAAAAAACGAACTACAAACATATTAACGCCAAACATTCGGTAGAGTTTATAGAATATTGTAAATATCTATATATATATATATATTATTACGGTCACGTGATAAAACATTGAGAAGGTTAAAGTTAGCGAATTTTTCTGTTTTTTAACAAATAATTCGAGTTATTTAGATAATTTTGCGTAATATTTCGGAATTTTATCGTTTTGAAGAAGCTAGTTCTGATTCTGCTGTCGAAATACTGAAAAATGAATTGGATATTCTGAAAAATGATAAAATTAATGAAATTAAATGTGACGGTGTTGATAAATTCTAATTCAAAGCTAACGTTAAAAAAGATAAAATAATTGAATGTATTGCAATTTAGAAATTCCTGAAATCAAATGTTTTGTTAAAAAATTGCTCTTTATTTGTTTCCGCGAATTTATCAAGAATTAAGAACGTTACAAATTGGTTAAGCTGCAACTTTGATTCAATGAAAAAGACATTGAAACCATGTTGAATGCACAACACTCAGGTTTTATGGAAACATTGAATAACAATAGTTATAGAATGCTTTCGGCTATAAACTCCATTGTATCAGACCGTGCACATGACCAGGTAAATTTATATTCTGTTAAGTCAAGCAACCTATCTGCCGAGTCCATAGTTTTGCCTCGTACGATACACACGGAAATAATAAACAAAGCTAATGAAAGTATATAAAACGTTAATGCCAATTTAGCAAACATAATTCCAAAAAGTGTACCGTGGGCTGATAGAGTTAAACCCGGGAACCAATCACCGGACGATAGTGATTCAACGGATGGCTTCCAACTCGTCAAATCTAAAAAATATATATTGTTATAATACTCGCTGTCGTAACCGGTTTACGATGCGACGGGTTCAAATCTTCGATTGAATAAAATACTCCAAACAGTTATTAAATTTTATTTACAGAAGAATTGACGACTTGAATAATTTGTTTTCAAAATTGAATTTTTCTTATAAAAAGCATGTATATATACTGGGGGATTTTAATATTGATCTTTCTAAAAATAAACTAGTTATTCTTTTAAAAATTTAATGTTTTCGTATAATTTAAATCCATTATTATGTTTGCCTACCCGTGTTACTTCATCGTCATCTTCTGTTATTGATAACATTTTTTACTGATTATCATAATTCACACAAATCTGCCGTTTTATGCTCTGATATTTCTGATCATTTTTCTATTTTTACTTTCTTTCAACTTAATAATTCTTCTAAAACAACTTGCAAGTCTACTTTATCGCGTAACCTCAAACCACAATATCTATCTAAGTTAAACTGCTTTCTACATAATTTTGACTGAAGTTTTTTCTTTAATATTACTGATACTTATACTGCCTTTGAATACTTTATTACAATTTTTAATAATGCTATTGCACGATATTGTCCGTTTACGAAATCACGTCAAATTTTCAAGCGGCCATGGATCACCACCGATTTGTTAAAATCATCTAGAACTATAAATAATCTCTACAAAAAGTCTATAAAAACTCGTTCTCTCTCTGATCATTTGAAATACATTAAATATAAAAATTTATTTACTTATCTTTGTAAAACTACAGAAATGTACAGAATTGTCATACTTTCAAAATCAATTTAATAAGCATAAAAAAAGCAAAAAAACCTGAAACATATTGAAATCATGCCTGGGATTATCTCGGTCAAATTTAAATTACTCCTTAAAGGTTGAAGATGTTGTTATTAATGACGAGTTATCATTATGTAATTATTTTAATAAGCATTTTTCATCTTTGTGAGACATAAATTCTTCATGTAATACATCGCATTTAACTTATAATTATAATAAATAAAAGAATCCACGTGTACTTAATTTATTTGTCTTGTTCGATTGTAATAATTTTGATGCAATGGATATCATAAATAATTTAAATAATTCTAATAGTTCTGGTCATGACCAAATTTCTAACTCTTTACTAAAGAAGACAATGACAAACATTATTATTCCTCTTGTGCAACTAATTAACCTTTTTTTTTCTAACTCTATTTTTCCTAACTTTCTTAAATTATCTAAGGTAATTCCTTCATTCAAATCTGGTGATAAACAGGAAGTCAATAATTATTGCCCCATTTCTTTGATCTCAAGTTTATCAAAATTATTGAAAGAATTATTTTTAAAAAACTGTCTCTATTTTTTCAGTCCAATAACATCTTAACTACTAGACAGTATGGTTTCCGTCCGATGTTATCTACCGAATTTGCTATTTCCGATCTGATTACTTTTGTTTTTAATGCCATTGAATCAAAAAAATATTTCATAGGCATTTTTCTGGATCTAACCAAGGCAATTGACCCCATTGATCATAGGATACTACTAGATAAACTCAAGCGTTATGGCATTAGAGGTCCTGCTCATGAAGGGTTTTTATCTTATTTAAGTAATCGTTCTCAATATGTCCAAATAAACCAAACTGTGTCCACCTCTCTTCCCTTAAATCGCGGTGTGCCGCAAGGTTCAATTCTTGGCCCTTTACTTTTCAATATTTTCATTAACGATTTTGTCAACTCATCCAATGTTTTAATGTTTATTCTTTTTGCTGACGACACAATTATTCTCCACTCTGATCTAGATTTTAACAATCTTTTCTTGACTGTAAATAATAAACTAAAGAAAATATATGACTGGGTGTCTTCGAATAATTTAAGACTTAATTTAACTAAAACTGGATATATTTTGTTTGGTCCTCCAATATGTACCCGTTTACTGGATTCCACCATTCTTAATAATGATATATGTATTAATCGGATTGATTCTATAAAATTTGTGGGTCTTATTATGGTTCGTTGTCTTGGCTAGATCATATCAATCATATATCTAGTAAAGCATCGAAAAATATAGCTAATATTTATCGTCATAAGTTAACATTTCCTAATTTTATTTTGTACTCTTTATATAATATATTAGTTCTTCCATTATTATATTTCAATCTGGGGTAACAGACCAAAATCTCATTTGCATATTTTGAAATTGAAATTGAATCAAAATTTTTTTGTTAAAATTTTATTTAATGTAAAAAAATTTGTTCGTTTAAGTATTTATTATAAATCCTCAAACATTTGGCCTGTAGAAGATTTACATATATTATATACATTACGTTTTTTTAACTTTATAAATTAAATTACTGTCCTTATCTTAGTGAATATTTTAAAAGTTTTATTAATTCTAGACAAAATTATTTTAGAAACAATCCAACCTTCTATTTTCCCAAACCAAGAACAATTTTTATTATTAATTCTGTTCTAATTGTTTCAATAGGTCTGTGGAACACATTACCTAATATAATTAAAGAATCAAACAGTTTATATCATTTTAAAAATTCGGTCAAAAATGTTATTTCATGCAATGTTTTCCACTGCAAGATATTAAGTGTTACTATTTTGGTGTTATCTTATGTTTATGTATTAAATCAAAAATCGTTTTTTTCATTTCCTTTTATTTTTGTGTTATTTTTATTAATTTTTTTTATTGAAATTCAATCTAAGGGTTTTATGTTATAATTTTTGACATAATCAAAACTATATATATTATAGGTGATATATTATTTTCCAATTTTTAATATACTCTGAACTGGTGGCCGATACAAGATTTTTAATCTTCCAGGTCTCCAGGTCAAATCTTTACTGGTTTGATAAATAAAGGAATTGTGAATTTATATATATAAATTATATATATATATGATTGCCCATGGGTTTAGCTCATCTGCACTATTTATTATAGCAAATATAAATTATGACTTAGTCTCCAGGTCAAATCTTTACTGGTTTGATAAATAAAGGAATTGTGAATTTATATATATATATATATATATATATATATATATATATTATTGGTAAACCATTACCCGCGTTAGGCCAGACGTACGTTTCGTCTCTCAAGAGACTCGTCAGTAGTAAATAGATAATAGATAATATACTCACTAATCATTTTTCAAATCATTTTTCAAGTATAATCATTTCAGATATTTCTGACCATCTTCCCATTTTTACTTTTAGTCAAGAATTGTCTATTGGTCCTATAGATGATAACCAATTTATTGCTCGTGCCCATTTATTTTCTCATATATCTCCATATCTTGTTCTCTTGCACTGGCTACCTATAAAATATAGAATAATTTTTAAAATTTGCACGTTCATGTATAAGTCTCAATCTAAATTATTTCCTAAGTATTTATCAGATATATTAATTGAACCTAAACGCCCCGGTTTACAATCGTCTTCTTCTTCTCGCTTTTTCTTAACTCGTGTTAAACACTCTTTTGCCAAATCTGCTTTTGCTTTTTCTGGTCCTTTCTTATGGAACTCTCTACCTACTTCTCTGACTACTTCTCCATCACTTGCGAAGTTCAGAGCGGATCTCAAGACCCATCTGTTTTCAAAATTCATTGAGGAGCGCTGTTGAACATCGCGGAAATAGCGCTTTATAAGCTAATTGATTGATTGATTGATTGATTGATGAATTCGAAAAATAAGTTTATTTTGAATTTTAATAAACTAAACGTTCACCAAAAAACTTTAGTGAGAAAAATCGAAAAAACGAACTACAAACATATTAACGCCAAACATTCGGTAGAATTTATAGAATATTGTAAAAATTATGGTCTATTACCAACATATATATATATATATATATATATATATATATATATATATATATTATCGCTCATCAGTAGCACGTGCCGGCCGCATTTTGAATTGCTCCGTATTTTTTCTTAATTTCATAGTTTAAAATCGAGTATTTAGTTTAAATTTAATTTCATTTGATAAGAGAAAATTTGAATGAATTTGGCATATAATTTGGTTGCCTTAATTGTTCGAGACTTGCCGATCGAACTAAGAAAATTACTAATGTAAACCTTATTTAAGAATGCTAAAAAATGTACTTGTTCGGTTGGTAAAAAACTCGTTCAGTTGAAGGCTCCCCAATTCACTGGATAATATGTACGAAGTTACCAGGACTTGCATCAACATTAGATACTATTGCGATACGTGTGCAAAATCCTCCATGAAACAAGCTATGAAAAGAATTGAAAAAATGGAAGGAAACAACGAAGAAATTATTAAAAAAATTGAAAAAATAGAGGAAAATAACGATGAAATTATTAAAAAAATTGAGAGTTTGCATAAGAGCACCACTGCCGGCATCGACACCATTAAGTTGATTATAGCTGAAAATGAATCAAAACAGACCTTGTTGGATAATTCAGAGAAAAAACTTTGCACTGAAATTAACAACCTCAAAAGCGAATTGAATAAAACATTTGCAAGTGTTGCTGGTTCGGAGGTCAAAAAAAGTGTTGATAGCATCAACTTGGAGATAAAGAATGTCAGCAAAACTATAAACAGTGTTGTTGAATCAAAGGAGAGAGAAACAAACATGATTGTTTTCCGATTGAAAGGGGGAGATGCTGAAAAGACCAGTATAAAAAAAAGAGCGATAATATATATATATACACACACACACACACATATATATATATATATATATATATATATATATATATATTTGTGAAAGACCATAGTTAATGCAGCAATTAACATTGAAATATATATATATATTTGGTGTTTCATTTTTTTCATTTATAATATTTAAAGTAAAACCAGAAGGGCTTGTGCGGCAACTTAACTAACAAAAATTATGCTGTTCAATTGTCAATTTAACTAATTAATAAACAAAATTTGTTTAGAAACGGAAGTAGATTTTAATAGGACAGATAATTTTGGGGGGAAGGGAAGTAATATTAATGCTAAATTGAAAGTTACAGAAGTTCATCTTAGGATAGCATATACAAATGTTGACACAATAATGAACTAAATAAATGAGGTAAGGGTTTCGATTGATAATGGAATTTTAAATAAACATATTCTAATTTTCACAGAGGCTAATTTAAAAAATATTACAACTGAAATTAATGAGAATGAGATTGAATTAAGAGGTTTCAAAATTGAATCTGTTAATTTTATGAAGAAAAAATTTCGAGGTATTATTTGTTATATAAAATTGGATTTAATTGTCAATAGAATTGATTTAAAAATAAATTTTAATGAATATTTGTATTTTAAAATTAGTAATTATAATAAAGATATATTATTTTTAATTATATATAGGAGTCCTCATTCTTGTAGCAATAATAATACCAACATGATTTTAGTTTTGAAAGCATTTATGAAATTGCGTGGATTTAAATATATTGTAGGGGATTTTAATTTTCCCAGAATTGATTGGGGTATTTTATCAATCAATTCTGAAAGTAAGTCAATTGAAAAAATATTTGTGAATTTGGTGAAAGATTTGTTCTTGCATCAAGTTGTACAAGAACCCACTAGGTTTAGATCTCTGCAGGCTAATCTTATTCTAGATTTGATATTGGTAGAAGAATTAGATGCGATTAAAAATCTTGTTCACCTGCCCCCTCTTGGTAAAAGTGATCACTGCATTCTGTGTTTTGAGGTGGGCTTGACCATTGATGGTGCTCATGAAATAATAAATAAAACCCGATTGAATTTTAACAAAGGCGATTATGAGTTGATGAACAAATACCTTCATAAAAATTTAAACAGTATGCTTAATAATGAGTTGTCTGTTGCGGATCCAGGATCGTATGTAATTTCATTATAGTGTCATTTTTCAAGTGTAATAAACAGAGCAACTGAAGAACATATTCCGGTAGTAATAATGGGAAAGAACAGTTGTAAAAGGTGAAATCAGTAAATCGTTGCAATAATTGATAAAAATAAGGAAAAGATTTGGGAAAAAATACATGAAGACTCGCAATTCATTGATTTTTGAAGAAGTGAAGTTTATCAGGAAAAATATAAAGAAAGAATTAAATCTGTTTAGGGATCAACAAGAATTAACTCTAATAAAAAAATGAGAGATAATCCTAAAGTTTTTTGGCAACATATCAATAGAAAAAGAAAGAATAAACAGACAATTGATTGCTTAGTTAATAAGGATGCTAATGAAGATATGTTAATAACAAACAATCTGGACAAGGCAAATTGTTTGGGATCATTTTTCAGTTCAGTTTATATTGTTGATGTTGATAATGAGGGCATGGTACCAGACGTTGATATATTGCCAGATATGGAAAATGATGTGTTTGTTAATGAAGAACAGATAGCACAACGTATTAACAAACTTGCATTGAACAAATCAGCTGGACCAGATAGCATACACAACAGAGTTTTGAAAGAATGTTGTTCTTCGATTAGCTTTTATTTGTGTCAACTTTTTAATGCTTCTTTGTGGTATGGATTGATTCCGGACGCTTGGAGACACAGTATTGTTACGCCTATTTTCAAAAAAGGAGAAAAAACTGATAAACGCAATTACAGAGTAGTGTTGTTTGTAAGCTGTTGGAGTCATTTGTCAAGGATGCGTTGATAAAACATTTTGAAGATAAAAAGTTGATGGACTACAGACAATATGGATTTACTAAGCAGAGGTCTACGGTGATACAATTTTTGAAAATTATGGACATATAGACGGAAGTATTGGATGGCAAAGTTGATATAATTTATACTGATTTTGAAAAGGCGTTTGACAAGGTATCACACAAGATGCTTATTAAAAAGTTGGCGACGTATGGTGTCAGTAATGGGCTGATTAGATGGATACAAAATTATTTAAAAAAAATAGAACTTTTTCGGTAAAAGTAGAAGATCGTCTGTCAGAAAAATATCAGATTACCAGTGGTGTTCCACAGGGGAGTGTTCTTGGCCCTACTTTTCATTGTTTATGTTAACGATATGTTCAGTGTTTGCGATGGAGACAATGATATAAACCTGTTTCTTTATGCAGATGATGCTAAAGTGTTTTAACCTATAAAGAAAGAAGAGAATGTGATTAGCTTGTAGAGATGTTTAGACAGAATTGTTGATTGGTGTAATGTTTGGAATGTTAGTATTAACATAGATAAGTGTGTTGTTATGAGACTAGGGGTAACGTAGATTTGGGCATCGGTTACAATATTCAAAATAAGTATTTAAAAAGCAAGGAAGAAGTACGGGATTTGGGTATTTTATTTGATAGTAAATTGAAATTTACATCTCAAATATATGAATCAATTAACAAAGCAATTTCGATTCTAGGCATAATATACAGAAATTTTCGTAATTTAAACAAATTTTCCTTCTTACAGTTGTACAAGGGCTTAGTCAGACCAAACTTGAAATATGCAGTAAGTGTCTGGAGACCGTGGACCATAACAGAAATAAAAGATATCGAAAGAGTCCAGAAGAGGGCCACAAAAATGGTAAAGAATTGTTCCAATTTAAAGTATGAGGAAAGACTGAAACATCTTGATCTGCCCACATTGACATACCGTAGAAATAGAGGAGATATGATTATACTTTTTAATATGTTGAAGAGTGAATCCGATGCTGGTCATCCTGTCATTGAAAAGGTGAACGACAACAGAACAAGAGGCCACAAATTAAAGCTCAAAGTTAAACCTTTTAATAAAAATCTAAGAAAGTATTATTTTACAAATAGAGTCGTTAGATTGTGGAATGACCTTCCTGAAGATGTGGTGTGCTCTCGTAACATTGCTGAATTTAAGAAGAATATGGACAATCATTGGTTTAACATTCCTTGGAAATTTGAATATGATTGTTATAAATGGTAAACAGTAAATGTTGTTGGACGTTATATGTTTGTTTAATTTATTATTAATCAATTGCAGAATGATTGCCATTAACTTCATTATTTTG